TATTCTTCAGATCACAGATGTATAGTGGCTAGCAGTGGAATCCAGGACGCGCGTTTCGTCCTATTTGGGAATTGTCAGCTGGATGTACCTGCATCTCACAGTTGATGTTCACTCTGGGACTCAGTACCTTTCACTTCAAACTCCATTGAGTCCCAGAGTGGACATCAACTCTGAGATGCAGGTACATCCAGCTGACGAGTTCCAAACAGGACGAAACGCGCGTTCTAGATTCCACTGCTAGCCACTATCCATCTTTGCTTACAACGCTTGTGAATTAAGGCTATATCGAGGCAATACGCACAGTATGCACATATGCCAATTAGAGACTGACCAGTTGCGGTCCTAAACATCAATGGGAAGATCCAAACAAACAATACTAAGTGAATTTTGACCACAGAATTGTGATCCAGTGGTTTGCATTTCTACTTTCTATTACCTCACGATGCTGTTCAACTAACTTTCAATAGCATTGATGAGTGAAGTCGTATATGAGACAGCCACCAATCAACGGTACTAAAATATGGTTGAGCAGTATCGTGAATTGATCGAACGTATATGCGTAAATCTTTGTATGCCAACTCATTGGTCGTATGGTTGAGCGCTCACCACGAATTGTGAAGGTTTTCTCTTCGATCTCCGATGGTTTCGTGAATGAGTACCACTGAAGAACTCCCCGCAAGGACAAGACAATTGTCCGGTGGTTATGTAGTGCCGCGCTTCGTTAATCATTCACCTCGTTAACCGTTTTAATACAAATCTTAACGGTTGCTTAAAATCAGAAGGCGAAAAGAAGCGGCAACTACAGTTTTATTAACAAACGACACATATTGGAGATGGCGGATAAGACAACTTGCTAAAAGCAGACGTTAATCAATGTTTATAGTCAGACAAAAATAAATGACAGACCTGTGATAAATAGGGTAAGAAGTGTACACACACCTACGCTCATATAAAAAATGATCAGTGTTAATAAGTGAATAATTAATAAAGTGAAAACATGATTCATGATGGACAGGTGAATTGGTTTGTCCAGAAGCTAGAATAAAGTATATGAGCTTAACATATCAATAGCCGTATGGTTATGACCAGTGTATCGTGTTAACTGTGCAGAATTTTTATATAATCATCATAGTGAATTAATTATATGGTTTTGATCTTTTATGAAAATTATTTTGAAATGAAATAGGCAGCCACTGTAATAAATAATAATCGTGTCTACTGGATAGATTAACCGACTGAGATTCTTATGTACTCAACTGAACATGTGGCAAGACAATAATACACTAATAGCATTGAGTAAAGGTCTCACTATATTATATTCCGATTGAATTTAAAGATTTAAACCACTGAATAATAATTCACTGGCTAAATAAAATCTTGGTTGGTAAGAGTTCTGAAAAATTAGAGTTTAATCTCATATTGTTGAGAACTGTAGAGATTCAGGGTGAAAACTACAGTCGAACTGAGTATCATTTTTAAAAGCCTTGGAATTGTATATTCTTATTTCTTGTACCAGATCATTTTCTCAGATTTTACCTTTTCTACACATTCAGCTGCAAGGCATTTATTATCTCAATCATAGTGGAAATAAACCATCCATATTCATGTTGGAAAATCATTGGAATACCATTGGGATGTATTTGTTTACTGGATGAATCAGTATCGAACATATAAAAAACTATTTCACAGATATCAGTTTTTTGATTGACTTGAAATATATTACTTATATTAAAGGAATTAGTATTATATCTACAGAGTAAAATCAAATGATATGAGTTATTCATATACTGACTTTCAATAGCATCGATCTTAATGATGATTATTTTTAATGTACATTCAAGTTTGCGCATGATAGTTGTACCATATTCATCAATCCTGGTGAAGTGTAAAATCATGTGTAGGATATATTTCTTCAAGCATAATATATTGATGATTAAATAAAAACGGTTTATTTGTTAAAGTTTTTAGCGGAATACGAAAACTTCAAACTTAATATTCCTTAAAATAATGTAAATTTATTCTATTCACCATTTTGTTTATTTAAACTGATAAAATACTAATTTTATTGATTATCTATAAAGTACTTTGTTTGATAAACAAACGAACTTATTTTTACTTTATATTGATTATAATTTACATTAAAACAAACATTTAATTTTGTATATAATAGTCTAATTTCACCATACATAGATATTATTTTAGACGAAGCAATTGTTCTTCTTAACGTCTTTTCCCACTGTAAGATTCATTTTATTTCATGATGGTAGTGTCTGTTCACAGTATATATATATATATATATATATATATATATATATATATATATATATATATATATATATATATATGTCTTTACATTCAGTCTGAAAGAGAAAAATGTTTTTCTGGAAATGATTTTACAACATTTCAGGAGATAACCAATTTCAGAACAAGTGTGTGTGTGTGTGTTTAGCATGATAGAATAAGTCAATATATATTCTTATGAATGAAATAAAACCAGCATGCATATATTAGATTTATTATCAATATTACTAATGAGTTAACATTCAAACTGTAAAAAATGTTGATACATTCGTAACATTTGTTCAAAATTCAATGATTGCTTAGCAAAAATAGATACCAACTCTGATGTAAGGTATTTTTGTTACATTTGTATATTTATTTATTTGATAGATTCTCATGATGATGGTTTTCTTTTTCACATCATTTTTGTTTTAAAAACATACTATGATCTAATGACATGATGTAATAATCATATTCTACATTTGGAAGATTTTTTAAAAAAGTAATTGTTTTTTAAAACCTAACGTAATTGACAGTTTAATTTTCTGAAGGAAAATAAAACTAACCTAACTCTGGAAAAAAAGACCAACCAATCTTTATTTAACTGAACAGTTGATTCGCTTTTTTTAAAAAAAAAATTAAAGATGTTTTAATTTATTTTCAATACGATGTAAAACATTGAGCTTTCGTGGTCCATTGATCAGTTTCGGTTGGGAATCGAGTTAATCTGATAGATGAATAGATATTTACTGCATTATATATATATACAAGACGGTTTATAACATTTTTACAAACAAAACTTAACAAAAGTTACTTGGTATAGCAATAAATAAAGTTTTGACATTTCCATTGACAGGTATTTGGTTTATTTTGTCTCAGTCAGAATATTAGTACTGACATTCAGTGCAAAAATGTCCTGTGAATTCAGTAAATTTGTTATTGTTCATTACAGTTCTAAGCTGATACAATTTGACTTATTAACAGAAAGTGTATAAATAGTATATAAATTAAATAGATTAGTTGAAACTAATAAATGTTTATACGTGTCAAAAATTTCTGGTTGTTTTATTTGTGTAATTGAAAATTGAAAGTTTATCAAAATATAAAACTGATGACAAAAAATTTTAATTCAATATCAAAAACAAACAAAAGAAATATGGTATGGATAAGACATTCAAAAATATGCTTACTCAAACTATGCTATATAGCTCAATTCAATAGTTGGCAATTTTTGAGAAATAATTGTCATGACCCCTTATATGTTCACATTTGAATTTTTTATTTCATCTCCTAACCATTCAGTATAAGACACTGAGATAATCATTTGTGATGCATGTTCTGTTGTCCCAGGCTATATTTGTTCACAATCTCATTTAGAGATTTTCCACCTTTACCTACTGCTCTATATTTAAAATCAGGATTGCTTGATTGATAATTCTAGCATGCAAAAGAAATACCTTAAGAATACATGCAGTATAAAACTGTTCTAAACCTATCCTCTCCAAAATCGAATACAAATTAAATAGATGATTAGGTCTATTTCAACATTTTTCAGATAATCATAATTTGTCATATACTTGCCTCGCCTATTAGGTGTTATGTAAAATACATTGGTAAGATTATGCAATTGTTTGATGTCTTTTGGTGGTTAAAAGTTTCTACTGCCACAGTTTAGTGTAGTATTTCGTTCAAACTATGTGAATGGAGTTATCTATCAATATGTGTGCTCGTACTGGTGCCCGATTCAGCTTTGTTAGCTTCTGAGTATTCTGTGTCAACCTCTTATTTAAACTATAGGCTTGGGATGGTTCGTTAGATTATCCAAAAGCTACATCAAGATGAAATGTTTCATTTCCCACCAAATGGACTACATATTCTTCCTTGAGTTTTTAAACAATATTTAGCCCAGTGTTTAATAGCTTGCTTAAAACAGACGTTGAGAAAACGTCCATGTATGCAGTCAACTAAAATCATACTAATGATTAAGGTGATTTCAGTAAACTAGTTTAACAATTGATTACATGAATTAAAAGTGAAATTTATATTTGAAATTATCTTTATTTAAAGAAAACAAGTTTGGAATTTGTCTAAGCTTTGATTCGAGCAAGCGTATATTCACGTAATAGTGAATGACAGAAAATATTACTCAGAGGATTATTTAAAAGTTACAGGCTAATCATTTTAAAAGTCCATCTAAAATAAAACGTTTCAGACTATCTTGATTCTTGGCAGTTCACCAACTGATGTTATTATTCAATGATAGCTACCTTCAAATTAAACTGATCTCCACAAATAATCCAAATGGAAAATACTATATAGCTCTTCTTTTATCATTAAAACTACAAAATGTGTTTGAAAGAGATCTGTACTAAGTCCTGGAACTAGGTTTCATATTAGTTGGAATTCACTAGCAAGAGTTATCCACAATTTGTAATGAAGTGATAATCCCTGTGGCATGTGAAACTTGATCATCCAAAGTCACAGTAAGAGACGTCTCCACTGAGATATTCAGGTTTTAATATATATCTAATAGTAATCTAATACTTACATTGAATGTATGCTGAGGATTAGTCAGTCTAATGTTTGTTTCTTCCTTTGTGTTGATCAGACCCTGTCGATTAAATTGTTATTAACTCTACTTTACACTTCCTTCTGTATAAATAAAACACATAAATATTATCGTAATTTTATACATATGTATATTTTACTTTCCCTTATAGGTGAAAATGAACATCTTCAACATTTTTGTTGTATATCAATTGCTTCCGAGACAATCGTTTGCCATGCAATTTTATTGCACCTTTTAGGATCAAGTTTAGATACACATTTTCGACTAACAAAACCAAAATGGTTTTCTAATACGACGAATATGTCAAGTAGAAAATATTTACTGGCTATACGCTTGAAGATAGCTGCACCATGGATAGTGAGTATATTACAGACCGGTGCACAAATTATACTAAGTGATTCATTTCCACCTGCTTATTTGGAAGAAGGCAGATTGTGTACATCGCCTGATGTTAATTTTTTAATATTACGTACATTAGTTGCATTTCTGCTACCCTTATTAACTAGTATAATAATTTTATTTATGACTGCGCATCGAGTACAAACGTTACAATGTCAACAAAAAGAGAATAAAACAAACGTGAAATCTTTGAATATTCAACAGAAGAAACTGAATGATACAATTAGCTCTCAAGTGAAAAAGCAAACAAATTGTTGTCATATTACTTCTTGTATAAATAAATACTGTAAATCACGTAAACATAAAGTGAAATTAATCCCCTTATCTTTTTCCAATCATCATTGTTATTGCGATCATAAGGTAAGTAAACATGTGATTATTGCAATTTTTTAAAGTTTTTATTATTATTATTGTTTGAATATTGTTTAGGTGTCTTATACTGCAACAGAATAACTTCTCAGTGTACCTGAGTTTACAGTGATTGTCTAGCTTAGAGTTAGTTTGTAGAGTGAACTACAAATTAAATAATTTCTACAAAGAAAGTCTTAATAATGATTAAAAATCACATTGTTAATCAATGAGAATTTGATTTCAGTAAACAACTCTTTTTAACTTAATGTGAGATTATTCAACAGCACTTAGTTCTAACTGTAAAACTTTCTGAATTAGACGTAATCTTCAAACTCCTCAGCGATCTCCCATTATTAACGTTATCTAAAATGAATTTCTTGAAACTGATTTTAAGGCGTGTTTTATGGAGTTCTCCAGGTTGTAAATATCTACAAAATTTGACTATTGCTGACTGCTTTTAATGGTATTTGGAGATTTTTTATTGAGATCATAAATCGGTCGATTTTAGATCACCATTAAAAACCTGGAAGCACTGGACTACCACAGTCCCGCACTCTGGATTCAAACCCAGGACCTTTTGTCTCGGGCGCGAATGCTTAACCTTTAGACCATTGAGCTGGCATCCAACAGTATTAATATCTCATATTAGAAAGAAACGGCTGTCCAGTGCTTCCAGGTTCTCAATGATGGTCTAACCATGATCGATTCATGATCTTGATAAAAAACATAATCTCCACAACTCCATACTGGTTGTATTTGGGGAAATTGCGCTTGAATTTTTCGATAGTGAAATAGTTACTTTAAACCCATTCTTTACTTGTACATAATTTCAATAAGATTGAACAGAATAAATTCCTATACAACTTTATCATCACAGAAAAGCCTTAAATAAATCTGTAAAAAATTGTTATGGTTAATTTATGTTATGCTTATTTTTGATCTATCAGCTAGATATACTTCCATCATTGTATTGATATACACATTGAAGCTATAACTACAATAGCTTTTTAGGTCAGTGTGATATAAATTAATCTACCTAAACCATATACCCACTAACTTGTTTGGAGAATGAGAAGTCATTTCTAACGGTTTGTATTATCCTATTATTGATAAAAAGGACTAAATTTTGATGAGTCTTTGATGGTGTACGCATATTCTGATACGATGCCTCAGGATTATTATGAATTGTTTTATATGACATCATATGTTATTTAAGGGTTGCAAGATTGGTTATTCAGTAAGCTTTATTATTCTAGTCACATTTATGGTAAATATACTTGTCTTCTACTACATAGAAATTAATTACGCCTGTCACATGAACAAGTAATACGTAGTAACCTGATCTACATGGAATCTCCACACTTATTTGTAAATAGATTACTAGTTTGATTTGAGGAAAATGGTTGTCTTAACTTGCTAGTTATTTGTCAACACAGTTTATGCGAACATCTACTTCATAGAATTTTAACGAATGCCATCATATGGCATATTGTATAAATGAACGGCTAAGTGTTTTCTGTTTAAAATCACTAGTTTTTTATTTATTGTTCTAAGAGAATAAAAAATTTCGGTAATACTTTCTACTGGTTGCGTTTTCTGGTAGCAATAATAATAATAATAAGCTTGTTAATAATTATTTCGATCATGAGTATCCAGGTGGCGTCTTTAACCTTCTTGCTAAAAAGGCATGGTTAAAAGGCTGAACGCAACCTTTACTCGATTGCTAAGGTACGTTGATGAATTAATTGAAAATCTGGCTATATTTAAGTGACATTTTTATTGATGAAAACTCCGTAGGTTATATACATACTTTCAATATTGTGAGCAATGAACTAATACTGTATCAGCTTTGCAAATTTGTAATTTTATTAGTTACTGTTTAATTATATTCACCTGGAAATATCTTAGTTTAGCAATGCAATTATATTAATCAAACTTCTTTTTTTAACATGTCAATTTTGAAAATTGAACAAACACTGGTTTTCATAGCATTTCATTTAAACAAAAAAATTAGTTATAACATCAGAATAATGAGAGAAACTCAATGAAAGACAATATTTATAGAGTTGAATATTGAATTTCTCGCTCTATTTTTTGGTCAAATTTATGTTCCATAATCAGTATTTTTTGAAACATTAATGAAAATGTGACACCATTAGTTTAAAAACGATTGTTATTCCGAACCCATAGTTATATTTCCTTTCGTTCATTCTTTTTTATGCAATATCACATCCAAACCTCTTAGTCTAAACGGAAGCAAGGATTTAGTGAATAAATCACTAGAAGCCTAACTAGTGAGTTTCAAGTTTAAATTTCTCTCCACAAGAAAGTATCATCAGCTGTTAAGTCTAAATTATATTTAAAAGCCAAGGTTGTGAATATTAACTTGATAAATGACTTATGTTAATTGTTTCTTGCATTCAATGTTAACAAAATTCAGTCTTCAAATGAAAAAGTGTATTTTTAATGGTTAATGTTTTTTTAATATTTTCTTAACCACTATTGTAGTACAAAAATAAGTGATTCTACAATGTGAAATTCGATAGAAGTAATTTGAATACAGTATTCAAAACATAATTCAACTTCTGAAAGTCATAAGTTACTAAACAATAAAGTAATTTTGCGAAAATTTGATGGCTTACTGTGATCTCATTCTAATCAAAAGTAGTTAACCGGAAACATTATACCTTCTTTTTATGACTAGTGTTATTGTAATATCGCTAATCATACTATACAGTACAGTAATATCTATGACACTCTATGAATAAGTAGGTGATAAATACAAATCGACCATTTTAAAAAGTGATGTTTTGTTACTTTAAAGTCAACATTACCTAATCAAATTTGATTAACGATGAAAGATAATGAAATTCATAGATTATAGTTTACGTTCGATCATTGCAAGAAATCGACAGGGAACGTATGAAAACGAATAAAAATTAAGGCAGTCAATGGTTAAAACATGCTTACGCTAGCATACGAACTTGGACTTTCTTTTATACTTCTAAGTTGTTTAATCTCACAGTAACACATCACGCAGGCACAATAATTTGATGAATAACTCTATTATATTGTATTTTTTTAATTCTGTAATGCTAACATTTGGATGAAACGTTCAAAATTCTCGGTATATAAACAGTTGTTCAGGTCAACTACAGTACAATTGAATGGGTTTTTTTAATGAAGATTATATAACGAATGTGTCCAAATATTTTACGAACTGATTACGAACTTCAGATATAATCTTTCAGTGTTTCATGTTGATTATTTATTAAAATAGGATAACAATTTCAAGCTAGTTTTCCTTATAATTTGAAGTTGTCTGGACAACAGAGATGGATACAATGCAACGTTACCAAAAGAATTCAACATAATTTATCATTCCTACTAATTTTGAAAATATCTAATCATTTTATGGGAAAAAGTGTTTCAGACATTAACTGAAGTGATTCTCACTATTGCACATATTTATATTTGATGAATGATAATTTGAACTCAGAACCTACAGTCTTGTGTGAAAGCACTTAACCTGTAGATCAATGAACTAGAATTGAGTGATATATAAATCTAGCTTAAATCTATTCGCGATATCATACGATCATCTTCTATTACTTTTAGTAGTTAACTGCCTCACAACTGATACGGTGTAAATCCACTGGTCACGGCTTCTCACAAGAACCCCAGAAATGTCTTCTCAGAGTTAATTACTACTGAGCACATATAAAATATCAGTATGGACTCGGGAAAATTTTAAAGTTTTGTTGAGGTCAGGAATCGAAGTAAATTAGAATCATTGAAAGCCTGTGTTCAATAGTCGGTGGCGGGTCATGAATACGCACGTTTGAAGTCCCATGCTAAGGGCGAAACGGCTGTTCGGTGCTTTCATTTTTTCAACAGTCGCCTACTATATATCGGTTCGTAATCCGAATAAGACTCCCAACTTAGCTCTTTGCATTCTGAATCACAGAATAATACTATAAATAGGATTAAAATGAAGTAAAATTCGGATCGCTTTTTCAACGTGTTTCGGACATTTTGTTTGTCTTCGGGCTTTAGTGAAAATGATAAATGGATACAAATTAAATTAATCAGAATAATTTACAAGTAAATGCAAATTGCATGCTATTTTTTCCATAGACCGAGACACAGTTACAGGTATACATATATTTTCACAAATTTAGATCTGGCTTTCTATTTTACAGTAGCTACGTTTTAAATAAGATAATTCTTTTATAGATCTGTGAGAACTAGTTTATACAGAAGGCTTTATATATCACTAACAATGTGCTCATGATCAGTTTACTAATCACGATCTTTAGATTTCTCAAATTTGTGGAAAATAAACAAATCATCACGAAATTGTTTTTTAAATTACTGCATCGGGCGGTGTGACCATTGGAGCTTCTTATTGAGTCTTTGACTTTTCGGTTTTGCTATCACTTTATAATTAGAGGACCACATTTCTTCCCTACACATTTCATAAGCTATTTTACTACTACTCACCACTGAAACCTATCTCTTTCACTCAACCGGATTTGATATTCTGTAGTTGCTGCTATTCGTACGATGTGCTTAAAATGGTTGCTTTAAAACATTTCATTGTTTTTTTTTATTTCTCTCCCTGATTTCTCTTCCTGATTTTATAATAACTTCATAGAGTGATTTGATAATCATTTGTTTGTTCACTGGCATAGTATTCCCAAAATCGTCAAGTGAATCTAAATGATCAGTGCATTTTTATTCAGTTAATTTTTATTGGAATCAGAGCACCATCCAGTTTAAGAAGTATCATTATAAACTTAGTCAAATAAATCTTATTGTTGAATGAAAAATTACTGCTCTCGATTTTTAACCTACGTTTCTGCAACTTAATCTAGTAGTTTGATCGTTAGTCTTTGTATTGAAGATAAGTCCTGGATATTTACTTCCAAGACTTTTCGTAGAAGAGTGAAAAAGTGAACCATTGTCCTATGTCTCATTGACCGAAAAAATTGATGTCCGTTTGATTTTTCGTAAATGTAAGGAGAATTAAGTTGGAAGAGAAACTCTAATTTTTATAATTACTCATCTTCTTTGAAAGGGTATTTTTTATCCTGCCAAATATTATCACTCAATTAATGTATGTGCCTTGAGGGCTATCTGGTTTATTATTTTCACTTGTACGTGTGTCACTCATCAATCCGCAATGAGTTTGTAGATAAATGCATCTCACAAAAGCATTCACATCATTAACACAAGACTTCGTTCTAAGAGACCAAATAATTTGTAATTAAAAATGTTTCGCTTTTTCTATTTAATACTCCCCAAAAAGTTGAACAGAGGGTATAACTAAGTGGTAGAGTATTCGATCGATTTGAACACTTTAATCAGTTTTATGAACATTCAAATTCGGTGTTTTTGTTATATGAAGTGTGGCATTTTACTTAGTGGGATTTTTGACACAAATTACATTATTCTTCATTGTACTTATGAAACTGGTCAGTATTATGACTTTTATAGTGGTTATTGATTTACTAAAAATTTTGAGTGTTTATAAAGAGATCAATGAAGTATATGAGTGAGTTATTAGAGGGTTACCCTACTTAATTTATGTACACTTAGGGAAAACATTTTAAAAGTGAATAGGAAATGAATTTTTGTTCATGTAAATGTTCAAATTAAAATATTATCATGTACATACAATTCGAAAATTCGTGATAATTCGTAGTTATTACATTAATTTACCAACCATTTTGATCAATGATCAGAAGAAATACAAGCTTTTTCTATACAGTTTAAACTGCTTATCACAATATATATATATATATATATATATATATATATATATGTCTCCAAAACAATTTTGCTTGACTGGTTAGTTGTAGAGAAAGAGAGAGATGGGGGAGATTATCAGTAGAAGTAATATAGCATAATTACAATTTTCTTTTCTTAATTTACTTACTTTTTTTCTTTTACCAACTGTTAATTATTGTTAAAACAAACGAAAAGCAATAAGTGATATGCATGTTTTTCGCGTTGTCAAAACATTACGTAACTGACTAGAAATCGACAATCAAACAAAATTGACAACAGGATCATAAACGATGATTAGGCTAATCAAATCAAATCATCTATTCATAAAATAATTTAAGAAATATTCTAGTAACAATAAAATAAGAATAGAGGTGAAAATTCTTGATAAAGGAGAAAATTTGTTTCCATGGGATTACATGACCATTGATAAAATATTTATAAGAAAAAATACTGGCAAATAAAATGAATGAATTTGAAAAAGGAAAACAACAATGAAGTGATTTTACAATATCTGACTAAATTTTTAATGAAGTAGTAATAACGATGATCAAAGTTTGTTTTGGTTTCATATGTATAAGTTTGTTATTTAATAACATTTAAATTTTGAAAATATAACATCTCTCATTAGTTTTAATGAAACCATTTGAATATGCTCACTAGTGACTGACTTCAGGAGATATTTCCTGGAGTTCTAGTTAGAAGCAGTGACTAGTGGAGTTCAACTGGGTCTGTTGTGAGATAGTAAGTCACTGAAGACAATTGATGAACAGTTGCTCAATTTCGTGTATTGGTTGGAGTTAGACATTAACACCGTTGGTTGCCGACCCAGTGGTCTGGTGGTTAAGTACTCTGGCGCGAGACTGGTAGGTCCTGGGTTCGAATCTTCCGAGATGGGATCGTGGATGCTCACTGTTGAGGAGTCTCACAATAGGACGAAACGGCCGTCCAGTGCTTCCAGGTTTTCGATGGTGGTCTAGCTTCAATTGATTCATGATTTCAACTATGAATAATCATGTGTAAATTAATGGTTAGTTTTAAAATAATATCACAAACTTTAAATGTCAAATTGATATTGATGGAGTCATCCAAGCTAAAATTAGCTGTTTCCCTCTTATCTCCAATGATATTAAGTAGCCAACACATTATATACATAAATGGATAAATTTGGGAATGCAAGCTCTTAGATTCTAATTCAATGATCTCAAAGTAGTGTGCTTGTGGTAAGATCCGTATGTCTTGTAGTTGATCCGGTGTATAGCTATAATTGTTCACTGTTGTAATGATTTTTCACTCAGTAATAATTTATCATATCAGATATGTTAGACTTTAAGCTGAAAAATTCTGAAAACATATACAAAGATAAAAATTGGAACTGCTTTGTAAAAAATGATTTCTAGCTTCGTTTGAAATATATAAATTGTTTCGAAAAACCAGGCAATTAATAGATCCACTAGCAAAACATGTACTCCTATGTTATTACTTCTTTTTAAATATTCACTTAGTATTGTTTGTTTGAATCTATCTTTTTAAATATTGTTCATTAATTAGTGAGTCAAAGATAAAGAGACAATTTTTATATGCATAACAGCCTCAGATTTATTCAGAAGTAAATAATGAAGCACTTTGACGGTCAGTAAAATCAAATCTTTAATAGAATAATCTTTCTTTACAAATGATACATTTACAGATACTAATCACAGAATAATAAGAGTGAATATACTCTAGTGCTCAGATTCTATGATAACCAAAGAATGCATTGAAACTGATTAGGTAGATGTACTGTACTCGGTGTTAAATATTTTCAGTTTGCGATAAGTCATATATTTAGATCGTCCGGTTAATAGTATCATTTGAATTTCCACTCATTATCCAGAAAAAAATTCACTAATTAACAATTTTGTTTTTCTGTTATTCTGAAGATGATAGATTCATGTGGATAACCTGATTCAGTATAGACATATTTGTTATAATGATTTATAAATTTGCTGCAAAAACGAAACAGAATTATTTTTTTAAAAAACTTTAGGATAAAACATTTAAAACAGTAGTTTGATGATGATGAGTTTGAAAAAGACAATGAATTACTGACAAATTGAATAACAAACACGTATTTTACCTCCTTTTATTAAGAACTACTTTTATATACAACAATGAACTTATTCAATTATGAAGTTTAATAATTTTCATTTTATAAATAACAAAGGTTCTCTTATTGATTTTACAATTCTCTCAGTGACTAAAACAGATTAGTTTTTTTGTATCCTAATAAGATATAAAAATAGTGATAGAGGTACTAACATATTATTTAATTTAATCAGTTCAGATGATTATGTGATGCATAACAGCTACGTTCTGTTCATTTAGCATTGCCTTATTCATTAAGCAACAAAGATTGTTCTAGAAAAGTAACTCGTATGCAAATTTTTTTTTCTTATTGTTTTTTAAACGATAGTAGGAACTATGTTTCAAACTATAGGTCAGTGTTTAGAGTGTTCTCCCTATTTTATATTTTTTATCAAGTTCGAATCATGTTTTCTATCCAGTCAAAAAGTGATGATAAATATTTACTCAGTTGAAGATAAGATTCATCGATGACAAAGAAGTAATTTTTCTTGTTAACTTATGACACTATTTTTAAATAAAATTTAACTTTTTTTTTCTTACTGTTTGATAAACTAAAGTTTAATAGGTTTCAGTATCCCTTAAAGTTTGGTAATCGATCTTCATTATATTTTATTAGTTGTCAGTGTCCCATATGTATTCATGGTATAATGTATGATACAGATTCAGAACATCTTATTCTGAGTAATTATTTGGTTTGAAATTCATTGGCTGTTCAATGTTACTCATTTTTTAGTTACTCTTTACGAATTAATGATTTTCTTCAAATTAGTAAACTATATATCACTAACGTTGATTTACGGTATCTAATACTGTTAAATGATATTTTTCAATAAAAAATTACGTTAATTATTATTGTAGATATTTTTAAACATTATTTTATTTTATCTACACAACAGCAAAAATGTAATTCTTTAGGCAGATCGAAGGATTTTCAACCTGAATATAAAACGTTTCACAGACATGAAAATAATAAATTCATTGAAAATCGACATTCATGGATAGAAACAAATCTAAATGCAGTTAAGGATATATTGGATTCGAATCTAAGTACCGATGAAAATATTCATAATCGAAGTTGTATAAGGAAATATTCCAAGTCTCTATCTCATAAACATTTACATTCACCTGTCTTGTTACATATGACACCGGTATCGTCCCTAACAACAACGTCAACAACGACATCTCAATACCAACATGGATCAAGTTCTTCTGATGCTGGGATTTCAAGTCAAACAACTGAAGATACGGATGAAATCATAGTGCATAACTGGTTTTCCCCAAGAATAAATAATCATTATAGTGTTAGCAATCATTCACCCAATTCTATTAATAGTGCTGTCAGTAATAATGATGATAATGATTATTCACGGGAAGTATTAGACAATAATCATCAAATTGAAAAAGTAAATTATAGCAGTTTTCAAAAAATCATCAAACATTTTTGCCCTCAACATGGTCAAGTAATAATACCAGAGTGTTTCTATAACCCCTTATCATCAGTCACTGAAGAAGTTGAACCAGGACAATACAATAACCAACGAACATATGAATTCACATTACAAAATAATGAAGTAATTCCACAAAGTGGACAGAAAAAAAATAATTCGCTGGATATAAAAAATGTTAGATTGCCACCGTCAACAAATGTAACTTATACATCATCGTTCACTAGTCATATTATTTTTAATAAGTTAAGTGATATAGAGAAAAATGATGATTTATTATCTGAAACATGTAAACAAAACAATACTTTATCACAATCTCGGTCAAATGACCAAAAACAACAACAGCAACAGCTAGAGTCACTGAATCAGAGGAACAGTAGTTCTTGGTCAAATGAAACTTGTGAACGCTTTCCTGAACAAAAAGCAATAAAGCTTAACATGATTTTATGTGCGATAACTATAGCCATGTGGTCACCATTTATTACTGCATCTCTTAGTCATTTGTTGTTGAGCAACTCAAGTTATTTTCATTTATTATCCATTGGAACTTTGATACATTTTAAATGGTTAGCTTACATGAGTTCTGTAGTCTATCCTGTTGGATTTTTACTGGTTGATTCACAGTTATGCAGAGCCACATTTTCACAAATATATTGTCGTAAATTCTGAAAAAGTTGCATATATTTCCAAACTACTTTTAGAGACTTCCGTAGTATCCTCTAAAGTAAATTCATGGACTGAAAATTTTGGAATTTGTCTGGTATGTGGAGGTTACAGTAAGATTTCAAAACTGGTACCTTATAGGTGCACGGAAATGCGATACTTCAACAATATTGCTTCACAAATCGTGTATTTTAATAATATACAAGTATCTGCTTAATCCCTCTGTATTTATTCCTATATGTTAAAAGAAACCGTTAATCGCTTCGGATACATTTGTTTGCCTACACTATTCAAATTCTACATACAGTCAACCTGATTGTAAAAAGTAGAAAGCTTTGGGATGATATAACTATAACTAATAAGAGTTCATGAAACCATTGTTGGAAAATTAAGATAAACAACAAACTGCCATGAAAAATACATCACACTATCTCTCGTTCCCATGTCGTTTATTTACACCATATATTTAAACGAAGGTTCACCACAAATTCAAATGACTTATCTTCTTTGAAAGGTTCCGTCTGCGTGAGGTCCACGAAGCATCATCATCTTTAATAGTATTTTTTGATAACCTCGTTAAAATGACTTTTCCTCTACTTGATAGTCTTAATATATTTTGTTCATTTTTACTTTATATTGTCAATAGAATCTAACTCTATGTTGGCTCGTCTTTTTGAGTGGGGTTGGTTTGTGGCTTTCTGTCAATTATATGAACAGTTTGAAAACGAAAACAAAATTTTAAGAGAATGACTCACTTATTGTTACGGGGTTTGATTGTACAATTTATAAGCCTTTGAGGTTAGAAAACTTTGAGTAGAAATATATAACTGGCTAATTTTACGCGGCTTACGGTTTGGATACTATGATACCTGAATAAATGCTAATTCACTTTTGTTGTCAAATGGAAAAGTAAACGACTTTGGGGACTGTTGTTTCAAAAGTGGAAGTGTGCTTTCTTTACCTTTATCGCTAAGTTCTAACAAATATCACGGGATAAGACATGCTATTAGCTTCTATCTGTAGCTGAAATTTACCGCTAATGTTGAGTTGGGGAAACATCGGGGTTTCTTTCAGAACACTTCAATTCTATCACTAATCTACATTTAGTTATTGGTGTCTTAGCAAATGTAGCAAAATGTAACAAAATAATACGACAATTACAGGCTGTCTCACTAAAATCTGACAACCATACAGTAAATGGTTGATTTGCAGACTATCGATCGATTGTCTCAATTTTGACCATTCCTTCTGCAACTATCAGTCCATAGTCTCCGATTATTATTATGCCCACACCACAATGCCACTGGAAGCACTTTCACTATTTCCTTGAATGATTTATCATATAAATCGTATAGAAAACAGGAATAAAGAGCGAATAAGTGACAGGGTAGAAATGTGGCTTCAGAAGAGACTAAAAAGAAGAGACTAGAATAACCTATGTGGGCTTCACGTGGTAACAGCCCCTACAATCCATATTCAGTGTGACGAAGCGATTAGACAATAACGCACCGAGATTCACCCAAATCTATGTGTAGACAGACGAAAATCCACAGTTATTTTAAAGAGAGGGTAAAAACTAACCAATGAAATAATAATTATGAATCAGACAAATATGTATTTGCTTAGTTACTTTTTAACATTGCTCAAAACACAAAAGTACAGTATAATGGAAAAGTAGTGAAATAACCAATATATTCAATAATTAGAGCAACGCTCCAGTGGTATTTTCTTGTATTCAAACTGTGTGATATCTACTAATTATTCATGGTGTGCAAAGAGTTTATATAGGTGCAAGTATTTTCAGTAAGTGTCAACTTGTTTTGTGGGGTGAGGCATGAATAAGTCTTTGGTGGTACTGGTTTCGCGTCCCCAATTACGTCGTGGAAATAGTGTTGGCTTTTGGTTCTTATTATTATCAGGTAGACTGGCTGTTAGCTAGTTATCCAATGTCGGCCACATTAATTTGCGAGCTAACCTTTAAAGCACAAATAGTAGCTTTATTTTGCGTGTTGTTAAACGCATATTCGACATTTTAGTCTATGCTGTGACTTTTGTGTATATCATGAACGATTTAGGATGCTCTGATTCATCTGATTTCATTTTTGATTTGTTTGTGCTCATCATTTAAATTCGTACTTCGTTTGAGAATACAAATTACAATTCCTAGTCATACCACTTGCTGACCATAAGTTATTGGAAATTCTACATCTTTAGTCTATCTTTATTTAACTAAACAGGTGTCCGTGATAAGAGATTGTTATATTACACTCGGAGTTATATAATGGTAGTACAAATTCAATACATTACCTCTTGGGAGTGAATTATTAATAAAGTTGCTGCCCGACTAACTATTCTATGTTTTGTCGAAGTATACAACAACAATAATAGTAATGATAAAATGCAATACCACTGAACTTACTTCAAATTTGAATTCTTCAATGCTCTGAGGATACCAAATGTATTAAGAGTTTGACAATGCCTTTACATGTAAAAAATTTGTAGTAGAAGAATACATTCAACAAATTGGTTAAAGGAGGCAAAATATTTCCACACAAATGCGTACACAAAGCTACATGGACTTCACCGGACCACACCACGGAGAAACAGATAAAACATACTTGTATCACTAGAAAATTCAAAAGGATAATGGAAGACGTGAGAAGCAGGAGAGGAGCTTCAGATCACCACCTGATGGTTGCCAAGATGAAACTGAAGCCACAAAAGCAATGGACAACTGGACAAAATGCATTACAAAGGTTCAATACAACTGTCACTCGACACACCGACAAACTCAACAAATTCAAGATAACTATCAACAACAGGTTCTAAGCCTTACAATGTATACTCAAAGAAGAAGAAGCTACGATGGAGGACAATTGCAAATGAATAAAAAAGCACTAAGTCCAACGTGTCAGGAGGTTCTGGGACGCAACAAGCATCATCGTGAGGAAAGGATCTCAATCGAAACCCTAGACAAGACTCAATAAAGAAAAAACAAGAATACAGCTATTAACAACAGCCAAACAAGAGCAGAGAGAGTCAAGATAAATAACGAATACATAGAAGAAACAAGCAAGTGAAAAAGAACATTAGAGCCGACAAGCAGAAACACATGGTAGGGCTAGCGAAGACAAAGTAAAAAGCTGCAACAGAAGGAAATATCAAACAACTATATGACATGACGAAGGAACTGGCAAGTAAACGTAATAAACCAGAGAGACCGGTCAAAGACAAAGAAGGTAAGCCAACCACTGAGATTCAAGGTCAGAAAAACTGATGTGTGGAATCCTTCGAAGAATTGCTGAATAGACCAGCTCTATTACATCCACCGGATATCGAAACAGCACACAGACATACTTATAGATGTCACTCCACCAACGATTGAACAAATCAGCATTACCATCAGGCAAATCAACAGTGGGAAAGCAGCAGGACCAGACAACACACCAACTGAAGCACTCAACTCAAACACAGAAGAAACTGCAAACACGCTCCGTATTCTATTCAAGAAGATTCGGGAGGAAGAACACGTGCGATGGACTGGGAAGAAGGATACCTCATTAAGATAGTACAGAAGAAAGATCTGAGCAAGTGTGGGAACTACAGAGGCATCACACTACTGTCAGTACCAGGAAACGTTTTCCACAGAGTGTTCCTAAACCGGATGAAAGACTCAGTAGTTGCCCAACTTCAAGATCAACAGTCACTCAGTCAGCTACAATGTAGGACCAGGCGCATATATGCATTGATCTAAGTTACCATATCTCATTAACACAACAAGATCAACACCGAATTCACGGAAGTACTCAATCCAAAGGTGGTAATATATCAAAGAAAGATTGTATATAAGGATATCGATCGGGAATAATGGAAGATATGAAGTAAGTTTAGTCTAATAGTTTAAGGGAAGACAGAGTGTATACACCGACGCCATTGTGATCGATTCTGAACCATGTCACACAGAGTCTACAACCATTGGCTACGATAGTCACACGGACCCCAACCAAGTAGTCTGCATCTACAAACATGGCCCACATTAAAAGTTTGTGACTTCAAGGACTGCGAGATCAACAGACCGGATTCCGTAAGGACCGGTCGTGTACAGACCAAGTCGCGACACGAATCGTCGTTGAACAATTGATTGAATCGAGCTCGTCACTATACATCAAATCCATTGACTATGAAAAATCATGCGACAGTGTGGATAGAAAAATCTAATAGGACCTTCTTCGGCACAATGGTGTACATGGGAAAATCGTCAACATCATCCGGAATTCAAACGACCGACTACAATGGAAAGTGGTGCATGGAGGACAGTTGATAGACGCATTCCAAGTAAGGACCAGAGTCAGACAAGGCTGCTTACTCTCCCCCTTCCTCTTTCTTCTGCTGGTTGACTGGATTATGAAGACCTCCACATTTTACTGGAAGCATGGCATAAAATGGATAGGTTGGATGTAACTAGACCATTTAGACTTCGCAGATGATCTGATTCTTCTATCCCATGCACATAAACAAATGCAGGTCAAGACAACCACTGTAGCAGCAGCCTCTGCATCAATAGGCTTCAACATGCACAAAGGAAAAACAAGATCCTCAAATATAACACAGAGAACACCAACCCAATCACACTTGATGGAAAAACTCTGAAAGAGATGGAGAGTTTCACCTATCTGGTCAGTATCATCGATAAACTTGGAGGATCTGATGCAGACGTAAAAGCGAGGATTGGCAAAGCAACAACAGCATTTCTACAATTGAAGAACATATGGAACTCAAAACAACTATCAACTAATATCAATACAAACGTCAAAACAGTCTTACTGTACGGAGCTGAAAGTGGAGAACTATTACAACCATTATCAAAAAGGTAGAAGTATTTATAAACAATGGTCTACGTAAGATACTGAATCTCCGGTGGCCGGGTTTCATTAGCAACATCTTACTGTGCGTGAGAGTTAACCAACTGTCTTCTGAAGAGGGAATAAGAAAAGACGATGCAATTCGATAGGACACACATTGAGGAAATCATCAAACTGCATTAAGAGGCAAGCGTTAACTTTGGATCCTGAAGGGAAACAAAAAACAGGATGGCTAAACAACACTGTGCATCGTGGAAAAGAAAAATAACGTAACTCCAAGCGAACGAGGAAATACACTTATACATGCGTAATGACACAGAACTGGTGAAAAAGGCAAAATAGGCTTGTATACATGCGTTTTATTACCATGCAATGGAATAGAAAGAATTTTCGCATAATGGCCTGTAATTGTTTTGGGGGGATAAATACTTACACACATATATTTGATCATATTAGCAAAGAAGAATTTGTTTTTGTCATTTTGACACAATATGACAAATAAATGGGGGCAGAACATAATGTTATGTAGGGTCATACGTTCGGTAATCGTTTAAGTGTTCGTAAAACCATAAACTTCCTCCTGAACATGCATTTTTAGTCCGGCTGTCAGATACCATCGAAGTGTCGTCGTGATTGTTGATTATCGAGTGAAGTATCGTAATTGTAAGACTCTTATTGTTCATGCGTACTGGAGAAAATCAACATTATTAGGGACTCCTTCTAAATACACAGCTTTAAGAGGGTCGATGACCACGCTATCGTTAGTTCCGTTCTTATCGACGGTATAGCACTTAAATTTTAAGGAGTTTGTACGAGGCAGGTTCCTTAGCTGTAGAGAATGCTTTCTCGCATTCTCATAAACATTGATGGATCTCTCACTTCCACAAAGATTATCGGTTAAGGTTCTCATGAGAGACGAGCAATTCAGTACGAACCGTCGATAGAAACTTACCAGGTTGTTAAACGTAGATAATTGATTGACTACCGTGGGTTCTGGGTACTTCAAAATGGACTCCACTTCGCTTTTCAGAGGTTGGATGTCCTAAGCATCGATAGTGTGCCCGAAGATTATGATGTTGTAGCAGGTCTAACCAATGACTGGCACAGAAATATCTGAGACAAAGAAAATCAAGTGGATGGGTTTGCGTAGATCCACGTTGAGTTAGACGTACCATTTACCATATGTGGTGGTTGGATTTCCGTTTGCTGCCTGTAAATTTAAGACCGGTTCGTGCAGTCGTTCGTTAGATTTTGCTGGAAGAACGTTAACTTCTGCTGCGGTGTAGCGAAATTTCGTAATCAAATCAGTGATGTGCAAAAGACGGCTATTCACACCGGCTACGGTTGCCATTAACGCTTGCCAGCTTGGGAGTTTGCCGAAGTGCTTTTGGAGTCAGACGGTTTGAAGATTTGGAAATTAAAGGGCGTTCCGCGGTTTCGAGAAGACCTGCCACACTCATTGAGGTACCAGCACCAGTCAGAATAACGGGGGTCTGTGACGTCGTTCTGTGTTGTCTGAGATATTTCTTTCCCGAAAAGTTCGGTTCCTAGGGTTTTAATGATCTCCAGAATCCGGTCGACAGATGCAGCCAGTTCGTCTACTGTGCACTGCTTGCACCTATTGGGACAGTTTAGGCTAGAAAAGCTGTCTAAACAGGCTATCGTTGAGGGTCCGTTGATCAATGACCTCACGCATTCGTAACAACATGTATGATGCTGAGCCGTGTTGCAGATCGATGTTGTTGAAAAGCTGATCTAACCTTTGTCTATCAGTTAGATCCCCACTCTTAAGAATGGCCTTTATTATGTTTCGTAAGGCTCTGAAACATTAATAGTGGACATACTAGGTGTGATGTACCTGTTAAATTCGTGCGATTATGCCTTTACTACTGCGAGGAATCGTGCACGTGTCATGCCGTGCTGATAGAAGTCAGCTTCTGCGAAACAGAACCGGGCCTTGGCTAGAAGGCAGTCCGTCGGAATGAGGGAGATGAAAGAGTCTTGATCTTAAATAACTTGGGAGTCTGTTACGCCATGATTAATGTAAAGTTTGGTAATGAAAGAGAAAAAATAATCGAAAATTCGGAAACCATGTCACGATATTTAGAAATAAACATTAAATGTGGTATATAGTTGAAGACGCAACAGGTAATTGGAGTTTGGAAACACTTTAACCAGTAACACCTTCTATGATTCAAACTTGCTCACCCAATGAAATCAAAAGTCAGAAGTGAGGAGGTTCGAAGATATATTTGATAGGTTATCAATATATCGAGAAGTGACTGATCTTAACTGGCTAGTGATCGCAGGAGTAGTTGAGCACGGCGTTCCAACTCGTGATCCGGTGCGGTCGCATAACCGAGCGTCCATTAAAACAAATGTGGTCAGAATCAGACATGGAAGACTCACAGGGCTATTGATTTTGGGCATTTATTTACCATTACGGATCACTCCTCCTTAGGCCACCCTAAAATGTGGCCAGCTAGAAGTTTAAACCCAATTAGTTTGTCGTTGGTAAACACTCGAAGTTATAAACTCACGTAGTATTGTTTGTTTGAATCTTCCCATTGATGTTTCAGGACTGCAACTGGTCAGTCTCTAATTGGCATATGTGCAAACGGTGCGTATTGCCTCAATTTAGCCTAAATTCACAAGCATGGTAAGGAAATATAGATAGTGGCTAGCAGTGGAATCTAGGACGGGCGTTTCGTCCTATTTGGGACTCGTCAGCTGGATGTACCTGCATCTCAGAGTTGATGTTCACTTTGGGACTCGAACCCAGTACCTTTCGCTTGAAACTCCATCGTGTTATCCACTCGGCCACTCAGTCCTGAAGTTATATTTGAAAGGCTATCGATATCTCGAGAAGAGTTTGATTTAAGCTGGCTAACGGTTGTAGGCAAGGTGAAGCACAATGTTGTCACTCTTGATGTAAAGCAAATGCGTGACCAAGCGCCTCCAGAGAGATGTATCCAATAAAACTGATAAGATCAGCATCAAATGTTAACAACTTCCAGAACTATTTACTTTGGGGAATAATTTACCGCTACAAAGTATATCAAGCGCTCACTTGAGACCTCATCCGAGAGGTAACTCTTGCATTATAACTTCTTACCCGAATAAATATGTTACTCGCCTGAGACGCGTTTAATTATGAACAATTAAAGATCAAATCCTTCCCCAATATTCTGTAGGCTCCAAATTTGCAGCCTGTGATGTCCAAAAATTATTCATACTATAAAACACTGAGTCATCATATCTTTTCGTCTGCTTTTGATGTTTCAACATATCGAATATTTGCTAGTATTGCACACCGTGAATCAGCAATCGAATACTTATATTCGGGTTGGGCAGTTTCAAATAACAATGGACTGCTATACTCGCGCTGACCTTAAATGCATTCGCTTCGCAGCCTATTTTGTCTGTGCCATGCAGTAAGTAACATTTTTCTTCCCTCTTTTTAGACCAACTATCTTCGAGCATATTTTGTGATCCATGTCCCAGTCTCTAGACACTGTATTTTTACTAAGATTTTAGTTTCCAAGTCGCAAGAACTTAACCCATGTGATGTTCGTCAGATGACCAATGGGTCATCTAGTTTGTCCACGTATTTAGTCTCCATTCTCACATTATCTGTTTAGCTGTCTGTTTTAATTCACCTTACACTGAAATATTGACATCGGTCATATCTAAACTAATTCATTGAATGGACTGTGATTTTAAATTATGTTTCAGTGAACGAGTCGTTTGTACTGCCATTCTTATGTTCGTATATTAGTTGTCACATAGAGAAACGTGGGCTTCTTTAGCTACTAAGTTTAAAACGATCCACAAACTCATCATTCGTAGTTCGAAAGACCAGTATGGTTGTATTGTGAGACCATAATTCTCGAACGACTTTTGACAGCAGTGACATTGAGAAATCCAGTTTACTAGGGCCCAAAGAGGGTTATTAATTATTATGAGAAGTTAAGGATTAGGGTTAATAATTACAGTGAAGGTTTTCATCATGAAATAACACCAATCGTTATGCCAAGATGTCATTTGGAGATATCGGTGGATGCATTCCGCGCCGAAATTAAAAACGTCATCTTAAATCTGATCCATTTGTCCATAACTTGTAGACTCCCCGTTCTCATCCTTACTCGGATCACAAGTGATTTTGCAAATAGTTTATTGCTGTTACAATGCTTTCATATTAATCCCCGAAAGCGTCTATGAAATGATGTTTTGAGATGAGTTTGGAACTAAGCAAACCGATTTCCTGATATTTTAAAGCGTTTTAAGCATCATAAGACTCCCTATTGTTCAATGAGTCAATAATGACATTATTTCTTTATCCATTTTATCCCGAATACATTTCACAATCGATGCTCTAGACAAATAACCTTCCTGTAGTTAGTCATCTTTTCGTGTGATCCCTGTACGGATTTTTTGGAACCGGTTTACAATTAGATCTAATCACACATAAACTAAAATGGTTAGAAGAAATCAGTAGATCTCAATAAGATCTACAAAACTAATAGATACTCGAAAACTCGTCCCGATTGGCTCAAAAACGGTAAGGAGCGGAGGCAGCTTAAACGTAGGTCGATCAAAAGCCTACTTAATAACCGTGAGCAGTGGTGGGTAGCAAAAGTAGAAGAGATGGAAAAGGCAGCAGTGGCTTTATTCATTTATTTATTTGAACATAACTGTTCAGACTTATCAAGGAAACAATTATTAAAAATAAGGCTATTAGTGGGACCACCTCGCAAAAAGATGGGACTTATTCACTTTCAGTCCAGGACATTGAACCGATGGGTATAATTTATTTATTTAAAGACAGACATTGGTATAAGGGTGCACCATTGGTTGCGAATCAGGACTTCCTAACTTCCCTGGGTGGACCCTTCATGCTCATTAACCCGGTTAAAGTGCCGGACGTTCGCTTTTCGTTCTCTCCTCTCCCTCCACGAGAAGGCAATAAGTAGGACTCTCCTGGCAGTAGCTGTATGTCCTCGTACGACCGAGAGTGGGGAGAATCCGCTCTCCCTCTCGAAATGCTCTCACATGGCCACGCGTATACAGGCTCTGCCAGGGAAGTCCTACTCACTACCTTCTCGCACTACATGTGTTGTTTACGAAATTGAGAGGACGAAAAGCGAATCTCCGGCGCTTTAACCAGACTGGTGGACACGGTGAGTCCACCTAGGGGAGTTGGAAAACCCTAATTCCAAACCAATGCTGCACATATGCTCCAGTATCCTGAGGGAACAAATGGCGTATGAACTAACTGTTGGTCACCGGCAACTTGGACCGATGCATATATGTGCCTGGTCCTACGTTGTAACTGACTGACTGACTTAATTGTTGGTCACCAGCTACCATGGGACTGCATCTCCTCACGATGCTCCACTGCCTTGTGGATCAGATCTTTAGGTCAAAGGCTCGGGATATGGCCCTCTAAGAAAACCACCTGTTTCGGTCTGGGCACCCGGGCAGTATCAAAGCCCTCATACAAATAAATGAAATGACAATTTCTGCTGACAATACTGTTCTTACTTTTTTATCTATTTATTTGAACACATACATATTGGTACAAATGGGCACCAGATGTATATGCGCCACACAAAACAATGAGAACGGGAAGAGAAAGGGGTAAAATGCGTAAATATAAAAGAAAAAAATATAATGAAAAAAAGAGAAGAGTAGTGATGGGGGGAGCTGTAATGTACAACCAGAAGACTCTTTCAGTTAAGAAAGCTATAACCACTCTTTATGAAGAAAGTAAAGGAAGGTTACAGTAGGATCGCCACTGGCTTCTATTCTCAGCCATATCTAATAACGTCTCTATCCACTGTGTTGCACCATCTCTTGGAGCCAGCCAGGGAGTCGTGAAGGACCAACAGAAGTCAGCCCTTTGCAGCTTTCTTTCATACCACGACACCATGTTATACACTGAACACCTCTCCGCTTTTTCCAACCAGTTCCAGCGTCGGCAAATAATGCACGACGTGAAATCCTCTGGAACGACATTCGTAGAACATGTCCAAGCCACCGAAGTCGGTGTTTCAAGATGGTGACACCCACTGAATTTTCGTCTATGCACCCGAACACACGATGCCGAATCTCTGCATTACCAACATGCTGTTGCCACCGGATGTCAGCAATCCTTCAGAGACAACGATGATCGAACATAGATAGTCGTCTAACATACTCAACTCGGAGAGGCCAGGTTTCACAAGCATAGAGTAAAACTGCTCTCACCGACGCGTTGTAGATCCGACCTTTTACAGCCAAACTAACATAACGAAAGCGCCAAAGATGGTCCATATTGGCATAAGCCGCTCTGGCTTTCACTATACATGCATCGATCTCATCACTCACGCCACCACCAGCACTTATGTAGCTACCTAGATACATGAACTTCTCAACTACTTCAATCTGCTCACCATCCAGGGTGAGCACAGGATTAGAATCCTGTCAGTCTTGTAGAAGTAATTTACACTTTGAAGATGCAAAGCACATACTGTACTTGCGGACACTGATTGCCAACTGATTAATTGTGGATTACATGGCTTGAGCATTATCGCACAGTAAGACTATCATCCGCATACTAAAGGTCGGGAAGTCTTTCTCCAGGCAACAGATCCACACCGCCATTACTTACCTCCATCAGAGCTGTTTCCAGGATGTCGTCGATGGCAAAGTTGAAGAGAAATGGTGAGATTGGGCAACCCTGCCTAACCCCACTGCTTGAATGGAACAAAGGAGACGGGTGGTTGTATGCCCTCACTCTGCCTGAAGTGTTCGTATACAGGGCCTTTAAGATGTTAATAAACTTCTCAGGCACACCCTTCTTCAATAGACAATCCCAGAGAACAGTCCTGTCCAACGAATCGAAGGCAGTCCTGATATCAAGAAACACTACGATTATTGGCCTGTAATAAATATGACGGTGTTCTAACATTTGGTGGGGGGTGAAGATATGATCAATGCATCCTCGACCAGAACGAAAACCAGCCTGCTCCTCGCGAGTCAATCTTTCTCGGGTTTTAAACAACCTACGAAGAATGACAGAAGCCAATAATTTGGACGCAATCAGAAGTAGACTTATCCCTCGATAGTTGTTACAGGAACGACGTGAACCCTTTTTAACGATAGGGACGACTATTGACTCCTTCCATGATGTTGGAACACTTTCCAGCTCCCAAACCTTTGTAAACAACATAGTCAATTCCTTTGCCAGAAAGTCACCACCATCTTTAAAAAGAGTCGAAGGTAAGTCATCTGGGCCCGATAATTTGTAGCTTTTCAAGAGTTGGAGTTCCTTGTGGACTTCCGCCTCGTTTGGTGGACCAGTCGTCACCTCCCATGGGGAGCAGGGAAATCTGATCGATGTTGTCGGATTATTATTTATTTAAACACATAAATATTGGTACAAGGAAGCACCAGATAAATATGCGCCTCACAAATCTCATTCGATTTGTGTGAGGGCTGTGATACTGCCCAGACTGTAGCAGGTGGTTTTTTTAGGGGGCCACACCCCGAGCCTTTGACCTAAAGGTCTAGTCCACAAGGCAGTGGAGCATCGTAAGGAGATGCAGTCCCATGGTAGCCGGTGACCAACAGTTGGTTCATACGCCATTCGATCCTTCAGGATACTGGAGCCCATGTGTACCATTGGTTTGGAATCAGGGTTTTCCAACTCCCCTAGGTGGACTTTCCGTGTCCACCAACCCGGTTAAAGCGCCGGAGATTCGCTTTTCGTCCTCTCACTTTTGTGAACAACACCCCCGCCACGAGAAGGCAGTGAGTAGGACTTCCCTGGGAGGGGCTATATATTCGCGTGGTCATATGGGAGCATTTCAAGAGGGAGAGCAGACTCTCCCCACTCTCGGCCGTACCAGGGCATTTGAGGGCCGATGTTGCCGGAGCAGCAGGCCAGTCGAACTGCCCTTCAAAGAATTCCGCTCATTGTCCAAAACGTCGGTAGATGTTAGTGATTGGCATCCCGTCATCTTCACAGATTATTTCACTCGCATTAGACTTCTTGCTGCCAGTGGCTCGGATGAGTTAGAAGAGCTTCCGGCAGTTACTAAATCTAGCTGCTGCTTCCGGCGATGACTGTGCTGGAAGCTGGTGCTAGCCAGAAATAGGTTGTAGTCTGTGCACAGTTGCAGTAGACGGTCCCCGTTTTCTGTTCTGCGACCAACAAGTCCCCATGGACCACCTGAACGACTCTCTTCTGTGTATGGACACCCGACCTGAGCATTCAAGTCTCCGGCTAGTACTACAATATCTGTTGAACGCACTTTCTGGAGAAGAACAGTTAACTGGTAGAACTCATCCTTGATTGCATCCGGGCTGCAATCTGTCTGAGCATAGGCGGAGATGACATAGTCAGCCTTATCTGTTGTCCGATCTGTGCTCTAAAACCTGACGAATGGTAAATATTTGCTCCGTAAGAACTCGGAAGGATAGGGACACACGTCGTTGCCTTTTCGTCGTTTCTGCCTACGCTCCCACTGACTGCAGCCATGATGAAGTGAAAGATGACTTTTACAGAAAGCTCTCTGAGCTTCTTCAGAAAGCTAAGCGCTCAGACATAGTAGTCGTAGCGGGTGACTTTAATGCCCAGGTAGGCAGCTTAAATCACACAGAAAGACAATTAGGTGGGTGTTTTAGTATTCCGACTCAACAAACCGATAATGGTGATCGTCTGTTGCAACTATGCTCAGACAATCGTTTATTTTTAGCAAGCACTAATTTTAAGCATAAGGAGAGACATCGCCTAACATGGTGACCACCTGCACCAAGCCAACGATGGACTCAAATAGACCATATTGTCATCAGTCATCGTTGGAGAGGCTCAATAGAAGACTGTCGCTCGTATTGGAATACTTGTTTAGACTCTGATCACGCTTTAATACGAGCGCGCATTTGTTTGCGCCTCAATGGACGCAGGAAAAGTACACTAAGAAGACCCATTAGGATTGAACTGCAGGACGAGAAAGCCAAATGCGAATTCCAGAAACAACTGAGTTCACATCTAGGCAGTTCTGTAAACAAGACTGACACAGATGCTACTTGGAAAGACATACGAACAGCTGTGGAAACAGCAGTAACATCTATTAGTCATCTAAACCATAGGGCTCCAAAAAACCAATGGATTTCTTCTAAGTCTATTTCACTGATGGATTCGCGTAAACTCATCCCATCAGGCTCTAAACATGACGAAGAGCGTAAAAAAAATAGATCTAGGTTAACTAAAAGTCTAAGGAACGATCGTGAGCAGTGGTGGGCAACGAAAGCAAAAGAGATGGAAAAGGCAGCGGCTGTAGGCAACACCAGGCAACTATTCAGACTAATAAAAGAAACTGGAATTAATTAATTCTGGCTAAAGTCTGGGAGACGGACGTAAACCCATCTGACTGGTCACACTCTGATTGTCCCAATATAAGAAGGGGTCAAAATCATCCTGTGATAACCATAGAGGGATTAGTCTGACTAACATAGTATCTAAAATACTAGCCTCAATAATTATCAGGCGCCTAACTAAGACTCGTGAACTGCAAACACGAGAAAATCAGGCTGGCTTCAGACCTGGTCGTGGCTGTATCGACCACATATTCACCATTCGTCAAGTTTTAGAGCACAAACATGCTTATCGGCGTCCGACAATGATAGTTTTTCTTGACTTGAAAGCAGCATTTGACTCTGTAGACCGAGAGGTTCTGTGGCAGTGTCTGTCATTGAAAGGTGTACCTGAGAAGTACATAAACCTTGTGGCGGCTCTTTACTCGAACACTACCAGTCGAGTGAGAGCTTATGGCGAACTGTCATATGATTTTACAACCTCAAGTGGTGTCCGTCAAAGTTGTCCACTATCCCCATTTTTGTTTAACTTCATTATAGACCTGTTGCTGGAAATAACACTCTCGTCGACTGAATTTTCAGGAATTGATCTTCTACCAGGAGGTTCACTTATCGACTTAGAATACGCAGATGACATAGTCCTGTTTGGTGAAGACGCTGACAAAATGCAAAGTCTTCTATTGGAACTCAGTAATAATGCCAGGATGTTTGGGTTGCGTTTCTCGCCATCCAAATGTAAATTGTTACTTCGGGACTGGCCTCCGTCAACACCCGAACTAAGGATAGGGAGTGAAGTAGTCGAACGCTTGGACAACTTCACTTATCTTGGAAGTCTGATCAGCCCTAATGGGTTGGTGTCTGACGAAATCTCAGCACGGATTCAAAAAGCTCGTTTAGCTTTTGCCAACTTACGTCACCTATGGCGAAGACGAGATATCCGTCTATCAATTAAGGGACGAGTATACTGCGCAGCAGTTCGTTCTGTTCTACTTTACGGCTGTGAAACATGGCCATTAAGAGTAGAAGATACTCGTAAGTTACTAGTATTTGACCACAGATGCCTTAGGAATATTGCTCGCATCTGCTGGGATCGCCGGGTAAGTAATAGTGAGGTTAGACGCAGGGCATTAGGGAATGATGGTAAATCAGTTGATGAGGTGATGAATCTTCATCGACTGAGATGGTTGGGCCATGTGTTACGTATGCCTGAATACCGATTACCAAGATGCTCTATGATGACTAGTATTGGGGATGGTTGGAAGAGAGTTAGGGGCGGCCAAACGAAAACATGGCATCAGTGCTTGAAGTCACTAACTTCTAGTCTGAGTCATGTTGGTAGATGCAGACTACGTGGTTGGGGTCCGCGTGACTATCGTAACCAATGGTTGGAGACTCTAGGTGACATTGCTCAGAATCGATCACAATGGCGTAGGTGTATACACTCTTTATCTTCCCTTAAACCTTGAGATTAAAATTGCTTCATAACTTTTTTTCCTTCCTATACCATATCCTTATATACAACCTATAATTTATATACTACCACCACCACTAAATTAACTACTTCTATGAATACGGTGTTGATCTTGTTGTGCTAACGAAGTATGGCAACTTGGACCGATGCATATATGTGCCTGGTCCTACGTTGTAGCTGACTGACTGAATGGTGAATATGTGGTCGATACAGCCACGACCAGGTCTGAAGCCAGCCTGATTTTCTCGTGTTTGCAGTTCACGAGTCTTAGTTAGGCGCCTGATAATTATTGAGGCAAGTACTTTAGATGCTATGTTAGTCAGACTAATCCCTCTATGGTTATCACAGGATGATTTTGACCCCTTCTTATATTGGGACAATCAGAGTGTGACCAGTCAGATGGGTTTACGTCCGTCTCCCAGATTTTAGCCAGAATATTAGTCAACCTAATCGCTAAAATTGCAACGGTCGGGTAGTTGAACCCACTAACCGCTTCACCTATCCTGAGAGTCTCATCAGTACTGATGCTCTGGTGTCTGACGAAATCTCTGCACGGATTAAGAAGGTTCGATTGGTTTTTGCCAACTTGCATCACTTGTGGAGTAGGAGAGATATCTGTCTTACAATTAAAGGGAGAGTTTACTGCACAGCAGTTCACTCCATTCTACTTTATGGATATAAAACATGACTATTAAGATTAAAGGATAAATCATAACCAATAATTAGAGACTTTGAGTGACATATCTCATTATCGTTTGCATTGGTTCAAGTGCATCTACTGTTATTCATCACCCAAATCCTGAGATTTTAAATTTTTCATAACTTTTTTCGTTCTTATTTCGCTAATTTGTATTTTTTTCCGAGTCGTATCTTCTATGCTTAGTCTTTCCTATTACCACTGATACTATTACTACTTCTACTATTCTGGGATTTGGTTTGACAATTTCATTTCAACGTGCTAATGGAGGGTACATGTGTACAGGTCCTACTTTGTGACTGAATGACTAAATAACACGTTTTTATTTGTTTGTTTTCATTCGCTTTTTCTTTAGCTCTGAAGTCCTGAGGACCATGTGTTACGTACGCCTGAACACCGATTACCACGACGCGCTATGATGACTAGTGTAGGGGATTGTTGGAAGAGAGTTAGGGGCGGCCAAACGAAAACATGGCATCAGTGCTTGAAGTCACTAACTTCTAGTCTGAGCCATGTTGGTAGATGCAGACTACGTGGTTGGGGTCCGCGTGACTATCGTAACCAATGGTTGGAGACTCTAGGTGACATTGCTCAGAATCGATCACAATGGCGTAGGTGTATACACTCTTTATCTTCTTTTAAACCGTGAGACTAAAATTGCTTCATATCTCTCTTCCTTCCTATACTATATCCTTATATACAACCTATAATTTATATACTACTACCACCACTACATTAATTACTTCTATGAATCTGGTGTTCATCTTGTTGTGCTAACGAGGTATGGCAACTTGGACCGATGCATATATGTGCCTGTTCCTACGTTGTAGCTGACTGACTGACTGACCTGTTGAGTGTTATGCAACTGACTTTCTCACGAACCACTGGTTTGAGTATGTAACGGTTGTAAAGTCACTCCTCGTTATTGACTATAAGATTTGGCGATTTTTCCTTCACAAATTTCCCTTGAGAATTAAAAATAACATAATTCTGAGTTTTCTTGCTATCAGTATTAACTCTTGCTTTTTTTAACTTAACTTCGCCAAAAATGTCACAAATTGTGCCACATATGTCTAATGATTTGAAAGCCCAAGCCTTTGAAATTTTAGAGTGCTTCTAAAACGTCTTTACTACTTGATACCAACTAGACAACTCCAAATGGCGTCTTTATTTCTGCATAAAGATATAGGACTCCTTTCCACAAAAACTTAGGATAACGTTTAATATACATCACCAATATCTTTAACTCATTCACTACGTCGAGAACTCTTGGATTTCTGTACTAACGCTTTTTTCTTTGACAAATTTTAGGTAAATGGAAAAATATCGTTATCCTATGCAAAATATTTTTGTTCATAACCCTTTCTCATGTATCATACCCGCTGTGCAAGGGAACGAAAATTCGTTTTTCAGTGTCCCTGTGCCGTTGTCATCTCAACCCAAACGGGGGCCACTTCTTCAAGATCCATGTCCAACCTTCAATCCACCAACAAGCAGTATATCGAGTTCATTTACATAAAGTGTGTTTATTAGGTCCTTCAAATGACATCATGCAAACGTCATTATGTGAAGTAAATTTGGATGATGTCCCGATGGAAATTGTTACTTCTGAGGAAGACTCTGGATCCGAATATGCTGATGCTTTCCTCTCCGCATACACAGAGTCAGACGATTCAGTTGTTCAGAACGTAGGTTTACCTCATTTGTTATTTATTTCTGAAGTGCTCAGCAGAATTAGATGAAATCGAACTCAGAAGTCGTGCACTAAGGAGTATGTTGCTCCAGAAAAAAACCGCTTCAGGGAATGAAACTCAACCGAAAACTGATCTCCCACTGCTTCATAACTTACCTGAAGTCAGGAATGCTTTTTCAAAAGTCAAGGCATCATGTAATTCATCAACTTTAAAACATAAGCAGAAATTCGTAATTACGTTACATGAATCATCAGATAGCGATGACTCACCTAGTCAACCTGTTGGTGCTGTTTTCAAAGGTTCTACAGCAAAGAAATGCGCTTCTAAACCTCCAATCATAGTGAATATTCCTAATCAATCAAAGAAAATCAGTCGTTTTCATCAAGAAGAAAAAATGTTGTTGCAACGAAAAATGGAGCTTCTCAGATTGAAACTAACTGTTAAACGTCAACAACACTTAATAGATGAACGACGTAAAATCGTTCGGAAGTTATCAACTACGTTATCAGAACTTCGTAGGCGCAGTAAGCATACAGCTTTGTTGTATAAAGAAGCTAGTAAGTCTCTTCTCAAGGCCCAACGTACAAATGCTACATATCAGCGGAAACTGGCTTCAGCCCAAAAATTATATTCAGATGTGCTTAATTCTGTAAACCGCTCCACTGCGGACATAATACAAACAGGCTTTGCTTTATCATCTGTAAATCTACGCAGAGATCTTATTATTTTGTCTCTAGATGTTCTGCAAAGAGCGAAAGTGGTTACGTGGTTTCTTGTTCACTATCATTTTAACCCAACTACATCGAAGTTTAACATAAAAAGCGTGAAGCCGGTGGCAGCCGTAAAACCAAGTTCGGAAACCTTACTGGAATTAGATCCATTTCGCCCGATTTGCCCATTTTTTCTCGATGGTGAATGTCTAGACAAAACATGTATATTTCAGCATCCCAAAAATTCAACTGTTATAAAAACAAGACCAAAGACTCTTCCCTCTTCACCTGTGGTTACTACGGATTCTGTTTCTCTGCTTGGCGAGGAAAATAAAGGGAAATATGATGACGTGTATTGTGAAGTGTGTAAAGAGAATTTGACCGTATCTGCGTCAGATTTTTCTCAGTCACCAGAAATGCAACGTTGGCATGCAGCTTATCTTGCATATTTACGTTCAGAACCAAAAAGCTCTTCCATCCTTCTTAAATTCTTAAGCGACCTCGAAAAATCCTCATTCCCTGCAGACTTATGTGCCCATCTAGTATTCGGATTTTTGCTATGTTCTAATATGGATCAGATAACAGTTAAGCAAAAGCTTTTTGATTGCCTAAAATCCTCTGGTTTTCCATTACATGCCTGTAGATTAGCATTGCGACATTCCAATTTAAGCATACCAATCCGCAGATCTATAATTCAATTGTCTCTGGAATATATAACTCTTCAATTCCAGCTAGATGCACAAGCAAATCAAGAGTCAAATTTTGAGTCATCTTTCGCGTACTTCGTTTATCAGTGGTGTTTACTTGAACAAGAAGTTGGTTTACATAACAAGGTAATAACCATCCTAAAACATACTCTCAAATCATTACCTAAGGAGAACAAGCTAATTTATTTCTTGTGGTGGTTACGATTATATCACCAACTAAACGGCACTTTACCCCAAGAGAACCTATTTTCTACTGCCAATTCACCATGCTTCTCCAAAACAGTCCTTCTATCTAACCTGGAAATTATTGAAATGGCAGCCACTGAAACTGGCATTTCTAAAAATTTATCTCAGTTACTGGAATCATTTGAAAATATTAAGACTGATATTAGCTTCACTTGCTTTCTGTATATCACTCATTTATACATCCAAACTCTTAATGCAGATTCCAAATTTAAAACTGCAGCAGATATAGCACTCACAGTAGCATTACATTCCCCTGAGTTTGTAGATGATTTGTTTTTCCCATCTGCAGTATATTCTCTATTTTCCTTAGATTCATCTCTTGACTGGACAAGCTTGATAAGTAATGTACCTGACAATTTACGAGTTAACCTTAATTTGGCCCATCGGATTGAATTTGGATTCTTGATAACATGTTTAAATTGGCGTAGAAAAACTTTAAATTCTACGGAATTCCATCTTATCGAGTGTTTAGGCAACTTAATCTTCCTTCCAAAAGATGATTGCGAAAGCGTTATTTCAGCGTATGAAAATTTGTTGAATATAAAGTCCAGTAATAGCAGTCTTGTTAACTTTAAAGTATGTCCACGAAGTTCCACATATTTATGGCTCAGTTATTGTCTGTATACCATTATTCATTGCCTAAATTATGGTGAAGTTTTAGACCACTTGATTAGTCACTATAAGTCATGCATCAGGAATTGTGCAAACGAAGATCCAAATTATGTTTTCATTCGTCTTCTAGCCCTAATGAGTATCTTATTAGCAAGTCATGTGAATCAGATGGACAATTCAACTTATCCTAGTATCATAAAGTTACTGTTTATCGATAACCCTTTCAAGTTGGATCGTAAGTTACTTCCAGCGTACTTTCTTGAATCAATTCAACAAATTAATTTAGGGCTTCTTCCTCCTGGGATTCGTCACGATATATGTGTGCAACTTGTTGAAATATATGGTGCTTCTCTGGTTCCTTCTTTGTGTCGGACTTTATGTGCTCTAGGCGACCACTTTTTAGCTCAAAGTCTGTGTGCAATCGGATGTTTAGATAGACCCGATAATGAAGACTTCTGGCTTTTGTATGCTTCTACAACATTTAAAACCCTCTCACATATACGATCATCTGAACAGTTATCAACTCTTCTAGAAATTCTAATAAATGCAACTTCTGTGGTCACCTCAAGTTCTCGACTTTGGAAATATTATGCACTTGCTGTTCGCATTGCCAAGGTATCAGTAGAGCAAATAACGAGCCGTGCGAAGTCTGTTGGGATGTATGATCTCATTTCTAGTAGTCTGAACGATGACAACCCTACGAAATTTTTATCGGAACTTGGGCTCCTCTGTGATGAAAGATCTATGGACAGAAAAAGTTAGGATTGAACCATTAAAGTAAGTTAGTTCAGGAAAGTTATATTGTAATATCCTTATTTTCAAATTTGGTTTTGATATCTTTATATCCGGTTTTTTAATAAAATGGATCTAATTTTATTTATCGTATTTGTTCGTCTAACCGTTTATTTATCTGCTCTTCGGTGGTTTACAACATTTGTTTTTCTAGAACTTTCTGCAGGCCTTTTTGTCAAGTTTAATAAAAAGCCAATCATTGTTAATTTCTGGAAAACACTAGTTTGCTGTTCGTTTTGCTGACCATTTGTTGATACAGCATAGGATAACAAACGTAATTTATCACTAGGGGACTTAGCTAAGGTAGTTTGAAACTTACCACTATGACTCAGGTACATTTATTCTTTTATTTTCTCCAATCTTGAGCATAATACTACCACATACTTCCCATTCCCAAACCTCACTTGTCCCTTCTAAACTGTCTCATATTTGTAGTTTCCCGCAAAGATAAGTATTTTCATTTTCATTTTGCTGGTCTCATATTAATAAATGTAAGTTTTGAAAATTTAGATTGACATAAATTTGTGCCGAATTACATAATCTTTTTACTTCTATCTGTCAATGTTGTATCCCCTGGCGAATTATGAATCATAAATCTGATGTCCATTTATGGACAAATGTAATACGCCTATTCCTATTGGATAGTTGTTAAATGAGTAACCTAAATCTGATGTCTATTTATGGACAAATATAATATGCCTATTCCCTATTGGATAGTTGTTAAATAAGTGACCTAATCGTTCCGTGTTCCTCTTATCATAACCTTTATTTTGACCTTGGAACTATTATTATTGATTACTTTCCTCCTAGCTACAGCCACATTGGCCAATTACTGTACAAATGTTATTTTTCTATTTTTTGGTATAATTGGGTCTGTTTGGTTAGTATATATAACCCAGTGTGCTTGTGAATAAGGATTCATATTACCGAGGCTGTTATTTGTGTTCTGGACTCAACTGGCTGGGCTAGGCAGTTAGGAAGGACCGAATAGCAATCAAGGCTGCTCGTACGTATTTTCTGTATCATTGCACGTTTCATATACAATAACGAGCTGTTATACATCATAACACAATCAAAGTAATGCCAACCTAATTTGTTGCTTCTGGAGAAATGGGATTTTGTTGATAGCCATTAGATAGTATAGACTTTTTCGTGGAGTGAGTCTCCAGGATCTTCAGTTTATGCTTACTAAATTGTTACAAATTTCCTGCGATTTGCCACAAACAGCATGTTAATACCAGTGAATTTAGGCACACTGCCCAACACAAGAGTTAGGGGCGGCCAAACGAAAACATGGCATCAGTGCTTGAAGTCACTAACTTCTAGTCTAAGCCATGTTGGTAGATGCAGACTACGTGGTTGGGGTCCGCGTGACTATCGTAACCAATGGTTGGAGACTCTAGGTGACATTGCTCAGAATCGATCACAATGGCGTAGGTGTATACACTCTTTATCTTCCCTTAAACCTTGAGATTAAAATTGCTTCATAACTTTTTTTCCTTCCTATACTATATCCTTATATACAACTTTTCTTTATATACTACCACCACTAAATTAATTACGTCTATGTATCCGGTGTTGATCTTGTTGTGCTAACGAAGTATGGCAACTTGGACCGATGCATATATGTGCCTGGTCCTACGTTGTCGCTGACTGACTGCCCAACACAAACTTAGTATTAGTGCTTGACAAATAATGTCAGTTGATGGACACAATATAAGTATTGGATTAGTTTTCTCAAATGTTTTCGGGATCCAGTACTCTGTTTCTGTCTGGCTAACTATTGCTAGGACAGATCGTTTCTGTATGTTCAAACTTATTTATCTTGTTTTTGTAATTTATTGCTGTCTGGCTAAATGTGACTTCATATTTTTATCCACACTTGTTTAAGCAGATTTAATAGCAACTTCACATAATTTCAACCTACCTTTTATTAGACCTGGCTACTTTCATACATTTTCATGTATTTTGAGTACGTACATGTTGCAGCGGGAACGTTTATAAGAGATAAAGACAGTGTTACAAAACAGAAAACATCTAGTCCTAAAATATTTATGTGTTCCCCAACTCAAAATAGTTGTTTTCGACAGTTTATAGTCAGTCAAACGTTTTTGCATACCTTTCTGTGTCTTCTGTTATTGTTTTCCAAACGCTTTAGGATTTCATCTATCTAGTGGCATCAATTGTCTGTTCATAAATCCCATCGTGGTTACTTTCCTGACGAATTCCGTTTTGAAGCTAACTGATAGGAGTATTCCTCGCTAAATAGGAATATATCACACATTGTCATAGTAGTCTAGAGCGACAAATAGTCGTCTATTTTTATTAACAGGGTGTAAATGTAAGATTTCGAAATAATGATATCGATAGTAGCAAGGAACGAAACATATAGAATGTTTCCAAAGCAACGAATGAAATTGGCAAATAAAGTGTGATGTTGACCCCTAAGATTCAGTTGATAAACGCATTTTTATCGCTTCTATTAATAATACCTTTATCATCCTGTTAATTTCCTCTCCCTCTATGCTAGAGTGTAACAACTTCGAACCGGTAAGTATTCGTCTCAATTCCTACACTGAATATGATTATGACCATTAAATATGTTTACGTCACACACCCCGATCAGAAACTATGCACGTTCTTGGATTATTACACTTGAATTTCTAGTTACTAAACTTCAGATTCGGAATTGTTTAACAGATAGTTGTTCCTGAAGATTGCCCGATTAGCTTGGCGTTCTGTGTATGGGAATAGGTATTTAGTGTCATTGATTTAGGTTTCTCACATGCTGCCAAAACATATCTGTGTCCCCACAATTCAAGCAGTTGAAACCTAATGTATGGGACAAACTGGACACTTCAGGTGTGCATAAATATCATGGGCATAAAACGTTGACATTTCTTGAGATAGATCATTTGTTTTTATTGATAATTTTAAAGAGAACTGAAATAGTGAAGATATGTCTTACACTTTCGCAACCGGTAGTGACAGCTAGATTGATTTTGCTCAGATTCTATGCAATAATTTGGTGACCGTAATTTAGGCATTCAACCATCATTACAAAAGTTTTTCCAGTCAAGTTATCTTAGGTAAGTGTTGCTTTACTCAACTTTATTGTTGATGATGACGGTATTATTGTTGCTTCTTTTGTAGTTATTGTTCTCATAATGATATTTTAGCATTACAAAGATTATTTCTCATTTAGTCATTGTTCTGCATAAATTTTCAGGAGAGTTACATACACCAATTTTAATGCTGGGGACATTTTGGTTTGTTAAGTGTATGTATATGTAGAGTCCAATAGACCGGTATGAAGATCGCTTTCGGTCATGAACTGTACAGTAATTTATATATGTAAATAAAATTCCATTTGTAAACAATTACTAAAAGTCTTGTTCTCAATTTTCACAATGGTGTCATGGTCGTTGTTATACTTAAGATTATTAAACTTAAAAATGATAGAATCGGTTTGAACTAACTTTCTAATGAGTCGCATTAAAGTGACTTGAAAATACGTGACCAACTTTACAGACTTTTTAACAAGACTTCCTAATTACAAAAATTCAGTTTATCTAAATAGGACTGTTTTCAGAATAGATGGGTTATAACGTCTCTGACTGGGTGATACTGGCAGAAGCGGGTTCAAATCTCACTAGTTTCCTTAAAGATTACAAAATACACCTTGTTGACGAGTTCCAACTAGCAGGGAAGCTAAGTCTAGGACTTCATGTTGACTGCTTCCAACCATCTAACACTTAACGAATTCGCATCAATGCCCCCTGTGTATTGTGTAGACTATTCGATAAGAGCATGATCATATGATATATCAGTCTCGGGCGATGAAAGCAAATTAGATAAGATAACAAAATTGACTTTGTGGTGTAGAGAAAGTTATATTCCGTATCATGAATTTCAAATATCAGTCTTATACTTGTATTCATCAGTTGTCCAGATCTGCTTACAATGTCGGGACGAATCTGTTCTACCTTCGATCCGCGTTAATTTGAAATGAGGTGGCTTTATTTATTTAAACACATAAATATTGATATAAAAAGCACCAGATAAATATGGGCCACACAAATCTCATTTGATTTGTGTGAGGGCTGTGATACTGCCCAGACTGTAGCAGGTGGTTTTCTTAAGGGGCCACACCCCGAGCCTTTGACCTAAAGGTCTAGTCCACAAGGCAGTGGAGCATCGTAAGGAGATGCAGTCCCATGGTAGCCGGTGACCAACAGTTGGTTCATACGCCATTCGATCCTCCAGGATACTGGAGCCCATGTGCACCATTGGTTTGGAATCAGGGTTTTCCAACTACCCTAGGTGAACCCTCTATGTCCACCAACCCGGTTAAAGCGCCGGACATTCGCTTTTCGTCCTCTCACTTTTGTGAACAACACCCCCGCCACGAGAAGGCAGTGAGTAGGACTTCCCTGGGAGGGGCTATATATTCGCGTGGCCATGTGAGAGCATTTCGTGAGGGATAGCGTACTCTCCCCACTCTCGGCCGTACCAGGGCATTTGGGAGCTATAGTAGACAGCGATCCGCGCCTATTTTGTAACGGTTATTGATCCCAGTTAAATACCCAACTTTGGTAAGTTAAGCACAATTAAAACATGAATTTCGTCTAATTCTCCTAACCACATTTATGTCCGTGTAGCACTTCATCTCAGTTTGTCAGTTGTGATATCGATTGCACCTAAACATTTGTCAATTTCCCGTTACGACGCTGACATATTTGGTGTCCAATAGACTAAAATCTGCACGTTTATCACCATATTTCTAATGCCTATATAATTATTGTAATAAATTATAGTTATAAATTACTTTTCACTTTAAACATTCTATCCAATTAACTAAGTATCAAAAACATGTTGACACTAGTTATTTCAATATATAGTTTGTTCCCAAAGAAGCGGATATCTTTAGTGAACAGAATGTGACAATTCATCAATAAAATGTTAAACATTGTGGGACGATTGTTAATAATCTACACCTCGTCTCAATCAACAGTTTTTATTTCACCAACGAATCCTGATGGCATCGATGTTGGGAGTATTTAAACATGTTCCGTACACTATTTACACCATATAAATATTGTTAAACATCTTTTGCAGATAAAAAGTACTGGAAAATATCCAGGTCCTTTTGATAACAGTGCTTGTCTTATCATAATAAGGATGACGCTAAGTACGTGAATCTACTACGAGAACCCTCCTTCGGCTGTTAACAAGACAGTCACATCATTAATGTAAAAAACAGTCAGGGTATTCTACCACTTGTGAAGATTTCACTTGATTAATAGCAGTGATGGTTAGGATACCTTTTTAGAAATTCAATAATTGCCAGATAGACGTTTTGCTTGAATACTTAAAGTTAAAAAAAGCAACTGATATCCACTTACTATCTAATAATTTAATCCTGTATATATAGTAGATAAGTATGATTATAACCTTTCACATAAAAGTGATCTAAATAAAACCTTCCAAATAATTGTTATCCAAGTAAACGAGCTCTAGTTTCGTAAAACGCATTGGATTCCTGAACTTGTTTCTGGATCATCTTTAGAAAACAAACACAAGTAGTTTCCTTTTTTAAGGAAAACCAATACAGGGTAGTTAATAGTCGTAAGAATTATTATTTCGAAGCATCAAGTCGACGTGCATGTTGAAGGTTGAACTGCTCAAAAAAATAACGTAGTGAAACTTCCTAAAGTATTCACTGGAAATCTGAGTGCTGTTTCCAAAAACAAATTACCTTTGTGGCTATTAAACTGTAAATCAGTCTAATAATTATTTTAAATGAGTATGGCTGTAACAAAGCGTTGGTAAGTTTAATTTTTCAAAATACTTCAGTAGTCAAGTGAAGTAAAACCAACCATTATATATTCCTTTGTGTTGTTATTATTGCGGATTTACCTGAAGTTATAAAAGTATTAGTTACTAACTTGTACTTTAAAAGTTACAACCATTCTAGAGACAACTTCGAACGTATGTATTAACAAACTCCAGTTCACTAAGCAACCTAGGAGGAGAGTAAATTTTTGGCATTGTGATAGGACGTGTCGTGTGGTTTTAGAAAACCAGGTTATTTATACTGAAAACCCGTATATACTCGACTAACAACTTCCGTGAAACTAGGCAGTTGTCTTTCTAGCAGAACCCTACTTCAGTGCAACGAAACCGTAAACGCTATAATTATGCGACATTATTTGACGCTTTTAACAGTTAATCGTTGCATTTTGCTATCGAATCTTAGAAGAACAAATCAAGACGAGTATAATGTTCGGTTTAAAGGTGGGGCGTGATTCAGTTGAGTAACTAGACAGACTAATATGCTCGGAATTAAGACGCATTTAATGTGAGTGCATACGATACTAGTATTCTCGAATCGGTGTTGGTAGGTCTAGGTTCAAACCCACAACCTGGTAGTTGAAGATCGGTTGCTCTAGCTACTTCAATTCCTTAATTCTAACCTATTTAATGTGTCCAACTGAAGACCAATCGTTCGTGGTTTCGAGACAACTATATATTTTGTATTTAATTCATTCACCTTCGAACCTTGCAAAGTGTGCACCAATTTAACTGTCGTCTCTTACCATTACAGCTAATCAAATGGATACCAAATAGTTCCAAGCTAAAATCTCTGATTAAGCAGTATCAAAGGTTTGTATGAGTGATATAGTAACACTAATATGCGGCTAAATGTTATGATACATAAGAAATGCGAGCATTCGGTATAAAACGACAACTTTCATCAGTCCTCTGAGTAAAAGTAAACGGGTTGTAGTTAACAAAATTGGAAACATTAGTTTTACAGGAATATGGATCCGATAATGAATACAAGGCCGCTCAGAAAATATTTGAACAGGCGGATTAAAATAATTTAGTAAGAAGATATACTGTGAAATAAGCAAGATACCAGTAGGTAAAACATTTTTGCGTACAGATATTTTACAGAGTGCAGAAGTGAGTCAAGTTATAGATAAAGTCCTTCAGGTGTCCCTTCACTTTTTCTATAAAGTACATTCTCTCTCGCCTTTTTGAAATCTTCATCAGTGACTTTCATCCTTCTTTCTCGTAGAGCTAATAACCCAGCCTCAGTACAAATAGCCTGGAAACAAATAAATAAGAAAATCAAAACCCACTTTTATTATTACGCAGTTAAAAATAAACATTACCTTTCCTACTCTTCTAGATCTTGATCTTTATAAAATGACTCAGACAACAGTTTGTGAATTACATAGCATAGCTTTGATTTTAGCCCGAACACATGAAGGCTGTCCTTACTCCATTCAACATAAACACAGAAAAATTTGGTATCCTAACAACAATCGTGTAAAAAAACGGCGGAAATTTCCGATGAAATCCACACCTATGAGCTTTCAAAGGATGATTATTTCGTATGGGGTTTTTACAAAGGCACTACACATGAGCTGAACACTTGCACGATGTTGGTTTTAAGGATGTTACATAACATTCTTAGTCGAAAACGTTTAAGCACTATATGAAGAAATACAGCGCGACAGTGACGAGTAAGCCTGCCCTAGAATTTACGGACACGCTACATTTTAGTGAACCAATCTGATTTAATCTGAAATTCAGGATTTCAGAATGCATTCTATCAGCCAAACTTGGGGATTCCCAGTCGTTTTTCGACGACTGCAACACTTGTTTATTTCATAAGTGAATGATATTGTAAGAAAGATAAGGAAATAATGAAGCAGCTTATTTAATTTCACATAAAATCTGGTATAACTGGAAAGCAGGAATGATATGAGCCACATAACATGGGTTTGTGTGTGGGCCGGTCTAGGTAGCAAACAATAGATTGCTTATTTTGAAATATATAGCCAAATGACTTGGAAGACCTAGACCAATTAAGTCACGCGCTTCATAGATTCTTGTAACGTCTCAGTCACACTGCTCCTGATTTTCCCCAGGCCTATTTCTGCATTATTCATCAATACCCCAACTTGGGTAAGCAATGGTTCGGTGTGCTTGCATAAATCAAGTATCATCTCACCTTGATGTCAGCACCTGAAAGTTCATCTTTAGAAGTAACATATTCCTCCAAATTTACATCCTCAGCTAAAGTCATGCGACTTGTATGAATACTGAAAATACGACGTTTTGTTTTTTCATCAGGTAGGGGAAATTCGATTTTACGATCGATTCGACCAGGTCTGATTAGCGCAGGGTCCAACGTTTCAATTCTGTTAGTGGCCATAATAACTTTCACATCTCCACGGGAATCAAAACCATCCAGTTGATTAAGTAATTCTAACATTGTCCTCTGTATTTCGCGTTCACCACCTGAATTCGATTCATACCTAAAATAACCAAAAAGGATTTATTGAAACGAACTTAGCCTAGATTACATTAACGGCATACGAACTCAGTGTTGTTTGGAAAATTCACAAATCTAACCCCATTGGCAATAAAAAAGTTAATAATAATAATAAAGAAGCAAACGTAGTGAAAGTAACCAAGCAGTGAACTTTTAGATGTCTTGTTCCAACTACTGGACTAAATGGGTAGTAAAAAGTGACTGCATCCTTACTGACTGGGTTTTATCATTTGAATAGATACCGACCTGCATTGAACACCGTGTATCTTATTGGTATTCTTAATTCGGTGACCAAAGACCAATAAAGTTCTTGGTTTTGGCTGGAATCGTATTTTTCTAATCCCAAAGAATACAAAACATGAACTTAACATTCCAAAATACTTATTCACAGATTCTGTATTTTCATCAAATTCCAACTTAGTACACATATATGTTAGCTTTATTGAACAGTTACTTCACAAGGAAATCCGCCTGCATCTTTTATACGGCTATCGCCGGTCCCAAGCTCGGGTAAACGAGGAAGAGTTGAAAATAGGTTCAGCATCCCCATCCCGTAAAAAACGACCTTGCTAAAAAATGTTAACCAGAATAAATAATTTAAACCATCTAAACTATGACCTCTGAGTTCAAAGAAAGAATTATGACGGCCCATGATGAAAGCCAAGATTCTTCGGAAGTCTCGTGACTTCCGGACAATGTGGGAGACCTGGAGGACCAGTCATATAGCTTCGGAAATGAGGAGGTACAACTTGATAGTGCTCGGAATCAGCGAAACCCATTGGACCCAATCTGGACAGCAAGGGTTAGGTACGGGAGAGACGCTGCTCAAATCTTTTCACGAAGAGGAAAATGCTCCTTAAGGATCGGTCGTGCACAGACCAAGTCGTGACACTACGGATCATCGTTGGACAATCAATTGAATGGATCTCGTCACTATACATAGAATTCCTTGACTATGAGAAATCATTTGACAGTGTTGGTAGAGTGATGCGTATTGTGTTGTATCGGAGAATCTTGCTTTTCCCCTGGTATATGTTGAGACCTACTGCTGCTGGGGCTGCTACTACACTGGTCGTCTTCTCCTGCACTTGTTGTTGCAGGTGTGATAGGAGAGCCAGATCATCTGCGAAGTCTAGATCGTCCAGCTGCATCCCAGCTGTCCACTGTATCCCACGCTTTCCCCCAGATGTTGACGTCTTCATGATCCAGTCGATCACCAGGAGAAAGAGAAAGGATAAGAGTAAGAAACCTTGCCTGATACCGGTCTTTAGTTCGAACGGGTCTGTCAGTTATCCACCATGACCGTTTTTGCAGTTTAACCCATCATAGAAATCTTTTATGATATTGACTATCTTCTCAGGCACATCGTACTGCCGAAACTTCCATAGTGTTGTGCTGTCCATGACATCAAATGCTTTCTCGTAGTCAATGAAGTTGATGTAGAGTGACGAATTCCATTCAATTGATTGTTCCACGATGATCTGTGGTGTTGCGATTTGGTCGGTACACAACTGATCCTTATGGAATCCAGCCTGGTGATCTCGAAGTTTGGCGTCTACGGAATCCTTTATTCTGTTTAACAATACCCTGTTGAAAAATTTTTCTGGTATTGAGAGAAGAGTGATGTCCCTGTAGTTATCACACTTTCTGAGGTCGCCTTTCTTTGGTATTTTGATCAGGTGTTCTTTCCAGTCTGTTGGTACTTGTTCTTCATCCCAAATCTTACTGAAGAGAATGTGAAGTATCTTTGCAGTTGCTGCTACATCTGCTTTCAGTGCCTCTGTTGGAATGTTTTCTGGTCCTGTTGCTTTGCCGCTCTTGATTCGTTTGATGACCATGCTGACCTCTTCAATTGTTGTGGGCCAACATCGATTGGGAGGTCGGCGGATGCTGCTTTGATGCTGTGTGGGTTTAGTGGGGCTGGTTGGTTCAAGAATTCCTCGAAGTATTTCACCCACCTGTATTGCTGTTCTTCGGTGTTGGTGATTTCTTTGCCTTCCTTGCTTTTCACTGGTCCTTCTGTTTTACGGTAATTTCCAGCGAGTTTCTTTGTTGTACCATACAGTTGTCTCATGTTTCCTTCTCGTACAGCCTTTTCCAGAGTCGTTACTAGATCTTCCACATATTTACGTTTGTCTGTTCTAATGGTCCTCTTCACTTGATCGTTTGCTTCTGTATATTCAGCTTGTGCCTTGGCTTTTTTTGTTCTTGTTCGGCTGATATTGATTGCTGCCTTCTTGTTCCTCCTTTCTTCAATCCTATCCAGTGTATTGATAGTGACCCATTCGTTGTGATAATGCTCCTTGTGGACAATAACCTCCTGACGTGTTGAAGTGATTGCCTCCTTGATCTCTTTCCAGTTGTTCTCCATGGTAGTTTCCTCTTCATTGAGTAGATCATGAAGGGCCTGGAACTTATTGTTGAGGGCTATCTCGAATTTGTTCAGTTTGTCAGTATTCCGAAGAAAGACCGTATTAAACTTTTGTGATGTTGTCCGCGCCGTTGTCCAGTGCTTCTTAAGTTTTAGTTTCATCTTGGCGACCAGCAAATGATGATCGGATGCTATATCAGCTCCTCTTCTGGTTCTCACATCCTCCATCGTCCTCCTGAACTTTTTGTTGATGCAGATATGGTCGGTTTGATTCTGGGTAGTGTGATCCGGTGAAATCCAAGTGGCTTTGTGTATGTTTTTGTGTGGGAATATGGTGCCACCTATGACCAGTTTATTGAAGGCACATAGGTTTGCAAATCTCTTACCATTTTCGTTCCTTTCTCCCAGTCCATGTTGTCCCATGACGTCTTCGTATCCAGTGTTGTCCTTTCCAACCTTAGCATTGAGATCTCCCATCAGAATTGTCAGGTCCTTCGTTGGGCACTTCTCGAAGATTGACTGCAGCCTATCGTAGAATTGGTCTTTAGCGTCTTCATCGTAGTCGTTGGTAGGCGCATAGCATTGGATGACGTTCATTGTAATGCCTTCTCTCTTTGTTTTGAAGGAGGCTTTGATGATCCTTGGTCCATGAGATTCCCATCCAATAAGTGCATTTTGTACTTTTCTGGACAGCATCAACGCAACTCCTTGTGTATGTGGGGCGTTTTCTTCTTCATGACCGGATTATAACAGAAGTTCCCCTGAAGATAGTCGTTGTTGTCAAACCTGCGTCCAATGTGTTTCCCTGATTCCAAGCACCTCCAGGTTGTATCTTTTCATTTCTGCAGCAATTTGGAAGACTCTCCCAGTCTCCCACATTGTACGAACATTCCATGTACTTAAATTAATGGTTTCTCTGTTTGTCAGAAGGGGCATCAGCCTCGTGACTTCCAAAGGAACTCGGCTTTCACCATGAGGCGTCATAACTCTTCTAAATTAAGACTAAACTCTCAGGGCAGGATTCAAATGGTTTGAATTATTTTTTTCCGGTTAGTGTTTATTTAGCAAGTTAGTTTTCTACAGGATGAGGTTGCTAACCCCATGCCCAACCCTACTCCTCTATCTGGGCTTGAGACAAGCAGTAGCCCCACAGGGACTACATATATATATATATATATATATATATATATATATATATATATATATATATATCTGTTCACCAAAGTATAAGGATATCAGCTGGAAATCCCCTGCGCAAACGAATGTTTCGAATTTCCAGAATACACGCTTGAGTTGGAGATCTTTTGTTGTGCTTTTATATCAATTATGTTTAACACATACATTCCACCCTTATTAACTACACAAATATCGAGTCCTTTTCTTTTGGTAGCTGTATTTTCATCTCATTGTAGACCCAAACACAAAAAATGGACAAGTGATTAGCTAAGTAACACTAAATTGATCTATTTATGCAGTGAACTAATTTTGAAACACTTTAAGTTTAGAGGAGAAACGTATCCCGAATGTCCATGCATTTACATTTTCTAGGAGTTACCCAACCACATATACAATACTTGGGAAAAACCACAAACCTTTTCGTCCCCACCGCATCGATCTCGTCAATAAATACAATACTAGGCGCATTTTCCTCTGCCAACCGGAACAGCTCACGAACCAATTTTGGACCATCACCCAAATACTTTTGGATTAATTCTGACCCGACAACCCGAAGGAAGGTAGCTGATGTTTGGTTAGCAACAGCCTTAGCTAGTAATGTTTTGCCTGTAAAAAAAATATTTGCGCCAACATCAGAGAATATTTGACCCATTAATAATATAAAGTAGCGGTGAATTATTTAATGGGTAGCATTGGAGGTTGATTTGGATACATAATTATTTACTTTGACTACAACATGTTATACAGGTTACAAATATTTGTTCTCTACATGGAGGTAGGTCCAGACAATAAAATGGCTAAAAATTTAGACAAATCCCTCTATTGAGCAACCGGTTACATAAATATTGCAGTTGGGATTCAAAACGTTTTTGGGGTCGAGCACTAAATTAAGCAGAACTGTAAAGTGTCTATTTCAGAGGCAGGAAAAAAGCAATCTCCAAGTCTATTTGCTTGCGCGAGAAATTCAAATTTCAGTTGCATTGACTGAACTATACGGAATGAAATTTTCATTTACAATCTGTTTGTAGATAGGTGCTTGGACTATCGAGTCACTAATTTACACAAATATAAATAAGTGCACACATACTACTTACAAATCACACATTAATAACTAGTCAGAAGAATCACAATTCAATAAGAATCATTCAGCGAGACTATGATTTGCAAACGAATCAAATAGTTTTAGGACGAATCCTGAATTTTGGAGCGAAATTCACCCATCCATGTGGTTAAATAGCATTTTGGGATGATATCAGTTCATAATGAAAATACAACTCTAATTCATGGCCCTAACTTGTAACTCCAAATCCCGATTATGATTCCTCATATTAATTTATAACCCTCCTTAAGTCTTGGTGATTAGGTGGATTTCCTCAAGAACAATTTGGCGTCGCTTAAAAGGTAGTCCATAAATTATGGTCTCATTAATCATTCTTATCAGGATCGCAGCTCACAAGCCATAATTCGGAGAATCAAACATTAAATTGGAAACTATACCTAACTAGTAGGTTGAATTACTGTTAATCCTGAGGGCTAGGTCACCCAAGATGAAAGGCTTTTGTATGTGATTGAGGCAGATATAACAATCCACATTAGCAAAAAGAAAATTAGTTAAAATGGTGATACCGGCAGCGGTGAAAAAAAAGTTCGCATTTTCTTAAGAATTTCGGGCTAGTAGTTAGATCTAAGGGGGAAGAAAGATATGAGCTAATACGTCTTGAAAAAGCTTATGGTGAAAGACAAGCAATCTAATACGTCGTCCATTTAGTTCAGAACAATAAACACGAACAAGTAGAAAGAAATTTTACCTGTCCCCGGTGCACCATACAAAATTACGCCTTTGGGGGGTTTAATACCCATTTCCTCATAAAGCTCTGGGTGAGTTAAAGGTAGTTCAACTGATTCCTTAATCTCCTGAATTTGTACATCGAGTCCACCAATATCAGCGTATGTTTCCTGTGGAGCCTTTTCTAACTTCATAACTGTAACCATAGGATCGGTTTCGTCTGTCAGGACACCAACAACAGCATGAACCTAAATAACCAGGTTAACGGAAATAAATACGATGTATACTTTGTGGTTTAACAAGACAGAACACCCAGGTTCAAGCATACCCTTGTCTACGAAGGAAAGAATGCTGACATAGTGCTCGCTACCAACGGAGGTGGATACCACAACGTGATTGTCGTCGATAATTTCTTCCAAGGTCCCCACGGACATTGGAGTGCCACGCAAATCATCAACTTTTGATCGTTCCTCCTAAGACCAGTTTAAAGAATTGGATGATGAATACCTCATGACGCTCTTCATCCGTTTTAAGACGCTCCTGATTTTTGATAAACTCTTCTTCCATAAGTAGAAAATCCTTGATTCTCTCCATTTTTAATAATCGAAGTTTACAACGTGTATGAGGTGTGACTTGAGGTAGTTTGTTGGCACTATCCGGCCCTTTAGATCGTTTGTGTTTACCCATTCTGGTAGGTACTGGTGGGTCGAATTCTCTTCGTTTAGTCTGGAAATAAAAAGTCAATAGTGTATCATACCTTATCATCCTTCTTATTTCCTTCTTGACTGGATTGCTTTTGACCCTGGATACAGAATTATGAAGGAAGTATTCACAAACCATCGAGAAAGCAAAATATCTGGAGTAAAAAGATTTCCACGAGCCTTAGTATGGAGGGGAACAAAAAACCAACCGCAAATATAAGCAAGTTGATACACTAAGAAATTGTTGTGTACTGGGCGCCTACATTCAATGTTACATTCATTAAATGATTCAAATGGTTTTGGACGGAATTGAAGTTTTCGCCTAACGGGCTTCCATAGCTAGTAGCAGTGGATCACCAATACCTCCAGGCAGAAACTTAGGTATATTATCGATAAAACAGGAAAAATAAAAATTATTGGTAAATCATAGTAAGATTCTCTCTTTAGTTCATAAGACTGTCAAGTTTTCTCTTAAAGGACTCCTGGGAAATCTCTTGGACTAGTTCAGCCGGTAGCGAGTTTCAGCACTTGACCACTCTTAGGGAGCAGAAGGTGTCTACGGTCCGTTCTGTTGTATTGTCTCCAGATTCTGTGTTACCCCTAAAGTTTGTGTTTGGACTAAGCTTAAGTACGAATTTAACGGGATGTCAAGAAGTATTTAGGATGCTGTAAGCCATCAGAAGGTCACTTCTAAGACTTATGTACCCTAACGGGTAAAGTTTCAGTGATTTGAGGCACCCTTCATAATGTTTGAATTTAAGTCCCTGAACGGATTTCGTGGCTGGACGTTTCAAATGGTTGATGACGGAATAGAAGAAGTTTTCGCTTAACGGGCCTCCTTAGAGATGTTCCGGATGAGATTTCGTTCAGAATACGGTATATCAGGCAGTATTCTTACGTTCACATCGGATTTCTGTTAGTGACTCGCTAGCAGGACGTCCTCTACGTCAGAAGCATTCTTAAGTGTAACACGAGGCAGCCTTGGGTGGTTTTGGTGGTTAGAGTCCTACCCCGAGTGAGCCGTATGACCGTCAGAGGCTCTGTCCTGGGGAGCTCAAGCCTCTTGTTCATTTCTCCCCAGAGCATCCTATCATTTTTGTCCTACATACTGAGAGGAAGGTCGGGGTTTTCAATAAGTTTCATGATTATGAATGAGTCATCACGGACCGTAATTGATTTCCCAGGTTTTCCAGGGCGTCTAGGTTCGGTACGTTGTTGTTTGGATGTTGAGGCGCGTTTTCGATTCCTAGGCTCGGTGATGACCAGGCGAACAGTCTTGGGAGTAGACTGTGCGGCCAAGTAACCAATTGATTTCCGCACGGTACTTGGGATGTCCAGCTTCGGCAGTGACACTTGGTCCTTTTTACCCCTGTTAACGTGTGTCTAACCACCCACAGGGTTTTCGGGAACCACTGTTTCATTCAAGGACTCTTCCTTGGGGCACCCAAGTTTGCTGAGAGAGTCGATCACCGTCGATGTTAGGATGGTGCTGAGTTTCAGCACGTTATCACTCGTGCTTTTACCTGCACCGTCGATAGCCGACCTGTCGATATCCCTTTTCTTGTTTGCCCTGTGCGTTCCTGCTTTGTTGCTCGTCATGTTACCGTCATTTATCAAGTTTTTAGACAACTTGTCTCTTAGACCTGTTAGTAGGGTAATGATGGTACCCAGCATAACTACAGTATCGGTGTTGTACGGAACACATAACCACCTACGATCAGACGTTGGATATATTCCAGAATGTCCTTATCCTTTTGGAGTGAGGGAGAAAATACTATGTCTTCGTGATGTAAATAGGAACGAATAAATTTGTTGAAAATTATATGGGAAGTTCCTTCGTCAAAGTGACCCAAAATCCGCTTCAATGTTACCAGTGCAAGGTTTGCTCGGAAGGCATTTTTGTCACAGTTGTCATAAGACTTCGAATCGTAGGGTACCAAAGCTCCTAGATCTTTTTCGACTTGAGATACCTGTAGTTGGGGAGTTACCTTAGTTGTGGCTGTAGTTTGCAACATGTCTCAGATAGACTACTTCACACTTTGATGACATTACTTCCGAACTATCGCTTACCAAATAGAACAATCATTACCCCTAATAGTCTTGCACTTAGAAGTTACCAATAAAATGAGATGAGACAAAGTGGAAATAATTAAGGCAATGTTTGCTCATTTTCTGAAAACTATTCAATCCTCTCTGGTAAGTACATTAGGTCGGTTGAATTGTATCAAGCTTTACGGCAAGTATATCTGAAACGACTCCGTTTATTACCAAAGACAAAGTCCGAACATTAGGCTTGTTTTTATCATAAGCAGCTAGGAATATTGACGATCCAAACATATTACTGTCATACCTACGAGATACCGATGACGGTATCGTTATATTCTTTCGTGTTCATAACCGCCGAAACAAAAGTGAGTCATATGATTAAGTTATCAGTAATTGTCGTCGATTAGGGTTCCTGAAAAAATAAAGTTTCATAATCAGCCAACTGAGACGTATCACAAGTTTGGGCTGATTAAACATAGTATCCACACCCCAATACCTACGGTGATATCATTGCCACTAAGTGCCAGTCGCCTTTTGAAACGGCATTACAAAAGTTCTTGCATTCAATGTCTTCAAACTCAGCTCAAAATAACAGTCAGGAGACCAGGTATCACTCCCTGGCCACAAATTGACCAAGGTTTCGAGTTTTAAATCAAAACCTCCATAAATTTATGAACGATTTTTCAAGTAGTAGTTTGCTTAAATATCCAACAGTATTTTTGGTGACTGGCGTAACGGAAATTCTCAGACTTGTGTTAACTGTCCTCTGATGTTACAAATGAACCATGAAGTGAATTTATTACTTCGAATATGAAAGGAGTGGAAGAAAAACTTACAAATTACTTTTAAAGTAGTAAAGTTACCATTTTTGGTCAAGTGGATTCGTAGTGTAATCCACGTAACACTGGACTAGGGAGTACTTTATTTTATTCAAGACTTTTGCCCTAGTTTTCCCTTGAAGGAAAGATGACTTGTAAGATCGTTACTTGAGGCAAATGACGATAAAATCAAATTTTTAAGTCGCGAGCTGCAAACGCTTGTCTGTAAATTAGCAGCTATCAGTTCATTGTTTTAAACAATAATTTTGATAACATTTTTCACTGTAAACCTTCAATGTCTACATTTTTAGAGCAAGCATTGAGAAAGGCAAAACCGAAATAAACCAAAAGTTTGAAGTGAAAATTGTAGACGGATCAAGTTCCGAACATGTGTTAGACGAACTCATAAAAAGACATTTAGAGTAACATTTCAGAACCTGTTAAATACCTCATTTCTCTTGTAATACACTTATTAAGGAGATTTATACTTTCCATAGCCTCTGTTTTACTCCAAGAAACTCACTTATCTTACCTGCCACGTAGTCTCAATTATGCACGGACTATCGGTGTGAAACAAACCACTTGGGTGGAAAAATCCTGTCAAAAAAGTAATATCACACTCTATATTTTCACTATATTTTCAGACTTAAATGGGATAAGATACATGGGAAAGAAGTCAAAGGAAAGGGCGCTCAGACTCCTTTCGCAAAATTAAATGCAATTAACTTCTCACAATCCAGGCCATGAGAAACGAAGCGGTAAATGAAAAATTCGCAAATGTCGATAAAATCACAAGCTTGTCGTTCATATAGCTTGAAAATAAGAGAGCAAGACACCATAATATCATGTCTATGGGTTTCAGTCCACGTCCGACTATCTAAGAAATGTGGATAGTCTTTCATGCATCGCTGAAATGTTGGTAAAAAAAACATCAAGTACAGGTGTCATATCGTGTTATGTGCGTACGTGCCTTGTTTAATATATATGAGTGATAAGACCGCCTATCAGAGAGCAGTGAATTATCGATCAGAGCAATGATACACAAAAGCCGTATGAGCAGTCTTGAGTACTTATAAGTCCTGTTTTCTTCTTAGCCCAGTCAGTTAAGTTCAGAACATCAATAACAGCCTCTGCAATATGAATCACCATTCTCAAACATACTGGGTTTATATACCAAACAAACTTACCACATCGTACCACAAAATAGTAAATAATGTTTGTACAAGACTTGGCCAAAAGTCGCTGTGAATAGGGGGAACAGTAATTAATGGACTAGGGATAACTGAAGAATGGTAAATCGTTTAATAATAGTCTATTGGTATAAATAAAGCTTATAATAAAAAGGGACACGAATATGAATAGTTTAGCCGCCTAACAATTATACAATGGGAAATATACACATAGTATTGATCCATAAATAGTTCTCAAAAGTTACCATTCATAAATCGCTTCGGCATATAACAACATGAGTCTAAAATTATAAGATCAAGCCAACTTAAACAGAAAAAACTTATTGATAGGTTGAAGGTTTGACAAGCACACCTCGGTTTAGATTGTGAGGCACTCGACCTCATTTTCAAAGTCAAGAAAAGCTGTAACGACAAACTCTGCCTATCACACACCAGTCAGTAAATAGAACGATCTCTATGTTCTGGATGAAGTTTTGAAGAAATGTTAGTACACAGTAGCCCATAAGACGCAACCCCTGATACAATCAGGACAATAAACTCGGAGTGGCTCACTAGAATTTAAACTAGAATCAGTTTCATGCCTTTTAGATCTATTAAATTAACTTCAAACATAAATGAAACTTGAAGATTTGTCTCAAACCACATGATGCGATTGGGTATCACTCGCAATTTCTCCAACTAAATAGTCGTGGAAATGTGTATTATAGTGAAGGAAAATTTCCCGAGCAATTATTCATTCAGAACCATGGGGTGCTCAAGAACCAGACAGTATCAAATGTGTATTTGGTCCTACATGTCCGAGACTTCTCAAATGACTAACAAGAGATAAATCTATTCATCGATATCATACAAGGATATAATAATATTTCAGTTGTTGATGGGAATAGTTCCAAGGCAGGCAACCCCACGTCTTCTAAAACTTATTGGTTTGCTTATATCCCTTCTTGCTCGCGAAAGGTTACTTAAACATTCCAAATATTTATGAATGGTTCATACTGTGATATACTATTCGAACAAACGTAGATTGATGGGTTTTTGGTTGTCGCTTCGATCCAGAATCACAAAAACGATCTATGAGAAGTACTTAGAAAGGAAAAATAATACTGAACGCATGTCAGTCAAAGCAGGATATACACTGAGTTCCAATAGAAGTGCATAAATCCTGGGGAGGGTTAAGACTGAAGACCAACACCCAATACCAATTCAACTAATTAAACGTGCGGAACATTTAGTTTAAGTTATTGCTTTGTTTCAGCTATTAAAAAACCCATTGATAAATGCACTGCAACGAAGGCCGTGGACTAGTGA